ATCGATGAGTGATCCCAGTCTGACCTGGGAGTGGACGATCGAATTCCCATCGATCGCGATGGGTGATGTAGTGAGCTATTAAGGGATTGATGATTGATAGTCGGAGATATCAGGACAGATGGGTCAGCCACGGATACTTGGCGCTCCTCAATGGAGCGTACCGTGTGCGAGGTCGCGACTGGTGAGATGGGTGAGAGCTTCACGTAGTTGCCATCGGGTACTTGGCGTTCACAGTGCGAACGTACCGGTAGCGGGTTGATATCGTAGGCGTGCAATGAGGGCTGACTATTAGGGCCTTCGGTGACTTGGCGTTCCCAAAGGGAACATACCGTTGGCGGGGACATATGATGACTGGCAAAGGAAGAAACAGACGGTGGATGGGCAGCTACTTGGCGTTCGCGTAGCGAACGTGCCGGCATCGCAGGTAAGTGGGCCTCATAGTGTTCACGATCACCATGATCGTGATGGGACGTCGTATGTTGAGTACTGGGGGGAGAGCGGAGTGATGAAGACCCATAGGGTACAGGTTCAATAGGACGATACACACGTCGAGAGTCTTCGACTCTCGACTTCGAGTTCTCGCGGCGAGGGCCGTTAGAGGACTCGATATAACCAGACTTATAAGACATATTGAGAGTTGTACAGTCACACAGGTTCAGTTGAGTCACAGGGGAGGGTTGTTACAGAAGACGGTACACGAGACAGTTGTAGAGCAGTTGTTAGTTAGCGGGAACCACCTTCGGCGGTTTCCGTACAAGACGCGTGACTATCTACAAATGGTAAGGTCGCGGGAAATCCCGCGAAACACAAATAACCTCGGCCAGCACCAAAACCCCAGTTGGGGAAAGCTTTGCACGAGGGGGGGGAAAGGGGTAGAACGGATAAGGAGGATGGGGTATCGGGATAGAGGACGGAAGGGAGAAAGAGGGGAGGAACGATAATGAGGAGAAGTCTTTGACCATGTGACGGATATGGTCGTTGGAGACTCCGTATCCGTAACAAGGAGACTAGGGGCAAGTGGGAGAAATTTGTAACAGAAGGCGGGACATGTATGGAATGAGCCACCGAAAAATAATATACTTGTCACGGGTTCATGAATTATATGTCTGACTTGTCTGACTTGATCGACATACTTAGGTCCGGGTTCAAATTTTATATTACGAATGTCGAAGTCACGTTCTGCTTTCAATACAAAAGATCACATGTTACATGGGGATAAACCCAAGTCCGATCACCTACTCTGGGAGTGGCAACACGCTTAGGCATTTGCCGAAGTCTGAGAAAACAAGTCTGGAGGTTCCCAGACAGTTACTTTGCTATGAAGTCGGCACCCAAGCCTGTGTTGGGATTAACTGCTTATATATTACTTCGCATGCAACAAAAGCGTCGGGTGTTGCGGTCTAGGTGGTGGAGTGTCAGCATGTAGTTTTCATTTTGAAGCTATGGGTTCAATTCCCACTAGGGGTAAATCTTGTTTTTTTTTGTTTTGTTTTTGTTTTTGCATTCCCATGTGGTTGCAGTGGAAATTTTTTATGCACAATGCCAGTAAATTAGGAAAAAATAGAACCGAATCCATGCCTTCATATAAGTATTCAGGCCCAGCTTGGAACACAATAAAAAGATGTACACAGTGGGAGTCAAACCCATGCCTTCAAAATGGAAACCACAAATTAGCGCTCTACCATCTGTACCACAACACCCAATACTTTTGTTGCATGCGAAGTAATATATAAGTAGTTTCACCCAATACAGGCTTGGCTGCCGACTTCATACAAAGTAACTAGATTTTCCCATGGGAACCTCGCATGCCCCAAACTTGTTTTCTCAGACTTCGGCAAATGCCCAAGCGTGTTGCCCCCAGAATGGATCGGACTGGGTTTATCCCCGTGTAACATGTGACTTTTGTATTGAAAGCAGAGCGTGACTTCTACATTTGTAATACAAAATTTGAATCCGGACCTGAGTATGTCGATCAAGTCAGACAAGAGACATATAATTCATGAGCCCGTGACAAGTATATTATTTTTCGGTGGCTCATTCCATAGACATGGTAGAATTGGCGCGTAGATGTAGAAGAGGATAGACACGCTAAAAGGAATGTTGAGGATCGATGTATTGGCTGGTCACAAAAGGAGCAACGTGACATGGTGGAAAAGCACACGTGCAAGGGCGAAGGGTGGGAAAAAAGGGAAACAATATAAACAAGGTGGGAAAAACGCTAAGGAATTCCGGGTTGGTAAGTGACCTTGCAAGCAAGGTAACACCTCTCTTGAGGCTACAGTACGGTCCAGTGAGCAACCCACCACCCCTTTTAGGGTCTACCTTGAATCCAAATCACTAAATCCTGTTTACGAATGCCGCCTATGAGACGCACCATTGAAGTGGGTGTGACACCTCGACCATTGCAGCTCTTGGATATCTTGACGGTTTTGTTCGACTGCTGCTCTAACGCAACTCTGGCGTCAGCGGCACGAACTTGCAAATTGTGGACGATCCCGGCTCTGCGATGCTTGTGGCGAGTACTTGACACTCCACTGCCTCTCCTTCGGCTGCTAGGGAGGGTCGACAAGCCTCACACCATTTTTCATGTGAGTGTCTCGTGGTGATCTTTTGTATGAGTGAGTATTAATAGTATCTACGTTGATGTGTAGAGGTTGCCTATGGCAATGGATCTTGAGGCACTACCAAGAATCCAATTTTATGCAAAATGTGTTCAATCCATTATTGTCAATATCGGGGACGTGTACCATTACATCCATCCCGAGCTGATGGACGAGTTTACCCTGGCAGTGCAGTTTTTGCATCCACCTCTTTTCTCGCGTCTCATTTCGTTGGATTGCCATCTCTATGGATCACGGGCGATCAGAAGCGCTGGGATTTGGCTTGCTGCGCGCCCTCCCAAGATCTCATTATCTTTCCTTGGCCCTACGGATGCAACCTGTCTCCCAGTCATTCGATCGCTTTGTCACCACAGTGCCTCCTTGTCATCCCTCAGTCTGCACATCGGCGAAACTTCAGGATTTAGTGAAGCCCTCAACGAGTGCTTTGTAAACGCATTGAAGCCGCTGGTTAACATTGTTTGCTTGACTGCACACGGGAAAATCCTTTTGACCCCAGCTGTATGGACTTGCATTGCCCAACTCCCCAACGTAAAGGAGGTCCGCTCACCCTACTCCGAGGGATTCGACCTCGACTCGGCCTGGCATGGTTTCTGCCCCCCACGTTAGATGCTCCATTTCCCTCTCTTCACACTATTGAGATGGGTATCCCGTCACAGCTAGCAGTAATGGTTCTGGGGTGTTATCCTTTGAGTGGGGTGCGTTTTCTCAGACTGCTACTGACAGACGCCGAGGACCATTCGCCAACAGAGCAGTCATTAATCCAGATAGTCACAATTTGTAAAGACTTACGTGGATTGGCCATCCTGACCCCTTGTTTTGACCTCCCTGTACTGAACCTGCCTCTACCACCTGATCTTACTCAACTGCTGATCTATACTGATGGCGTTGAGAGCATTAATAATGCTGATTTGGTGGATCTATGTTCTAAGATGCCTAACCTTGAAGATTTGGGTTTAATCCCGGTATCTCCCCCGATAAATGATGATCCTCCAAGTCTAACGCTGGAAGTCATACGGTCAATCGCGAACGTATGCCCTTGTCTTGGGCGTGCTTCGTTGTACATCAATACGGACATCTTGGATATTCAATTCTCCTTCGATGACCCTCCCCTTCCTTCGAATCATCCACTTTCTGTACTAGGTTTCTTGCCGTCTCGGGTCCGGGATTGCTCCGCAGTAGCAACGTATCTGTGCGCTTTGTTCCAGGACGCTCGACGTGCACCGACGATCGTGACACGGGCAATTCATTTCGATGAATATTTCAATTGGGAAGGGCGATATTTCTGCGATGGTTTTGAGGATTCTGAGGAGGAATGGGGAAACGTTGCGGAGTTTATGGGCACGCTGAGGAGGCGGGTCATCTCTTAGTCTCAGAGTTGATTGGTACAGAAGGATGCAGAATTGGAGGCGTTACGGAAGAAACTCCGATCTTCACCGCGGGAGAGGGTATAATGAGATAAGTCCCTAGCGTTTGAGTTCTTTATGGGTGGCTTTGAGGAGTTTGGGGAGTAACGGAACTGTCGCAGGCGCCTGGGGGATGGGGGAGAAAAAAAAAAACATAAAGTTTCCAAGATGTCCCCTCGGATTTATTGGATTTATCACAACAAGCGATGCCTGGCCGGGAGTGTTCAAGCACGTATCATGCCCGTTCTTTTCCTTACTGTACAATTATTCTTATTTGCACCATCGTTCTACGACGTTCAAACCTTAATCATACGCCTTCGCTTTCTACTCAAAATATTCTAGTATCATTGCAATTGCCCCACTTTGCTACCCCAAACTTCTATCTCTTGGCGTTCCCTGTCTGTTTTGCGCCACAAATCCCACGATACGAGAGCCTACACTTGCTTATCGATGCACGTATTGGGGAAACTGATGCGTTTGCGTAAACAAATCCACAGTCAGTTCACAACATTACTACTATAAACCAGAAGAGACATTGGCCACAAAACATGAAAAAATGGTGGGGATATGGATGGTGGGCGCAAGTAAAAGGGTCAACAAGAAGTGGAAGGACGAGGTGGAGAGTAAAAAGTGTATCGACATTCGTTGATTGGGTGAGAGATGATGACTCTTCAGCTTAAAGGTGGTACAAATCGTGACAATTGACAATGGAGAGATGAAGGGAATCAAGTTTGTGGTTGCGCATGTAAGTTCGTTCATTATCGTGCTGTCTTCTGAAGTGAGATGTGACAGTGGGGGAAGATGAGAGGATGAGGCGTGATGGTGGATTTGAGGCTGGTGGCAGGCATGGCAGGTGGGTTCAATCAGCCGGAACAACCTAGAGGCATTGACCCAAAAAGAAACGACGCCACACTCCATGCCACACTTAGTATGTCTCCATCTACCGCTACCCAACATACGAATTCGCCCGATCAAATCAAGCCCTCAACCGTGATCTTGACTCCGGACTTGGATTCTCGACCGCTATCATCGTCGCAGGCTTAGGCTCGATACCATACGTCTCATCGTGGTCGGCGGCCACGAAAAGCAGGACGGTGCTGCAACATGTCAAACCAGTCCCACGTTAGGAACAAACGCACGTGAGAGCGCCGTAAGGTGACCATGTGCAACGTGGTTCAAAGGCGTTGTCGTTTGAACCAAGCGTCAATCCAACGTGTGAGTCGATATTTATTTGTGGGAGTGGTACCAAGATGCGATATGAATTTGGAGATGAAACGAACGTTTCACACGGTAAGAACGAAGTTCGGAGTTGTGAATGAACGGACTGACCTTGCTGCCGTGAAGATGAAACCGACCCAAAGTTGTACAACATACGCAATATTCGTCGGCCACTTGTAGTATTCTACGAAACAGAGGTGATGTGGGTGGGAGGAAAAGAAGTTAAAAGGAAATGGTTAGTCTATATTTTTATGGTAGCAGTGATATGTGACATCCGGACACTCAACTGAGTGGAGGCCTGAAGAAAATATCGGTGAGTGCCTTGGCCTCTTCGGGAGTGGCGCGCACGACGAAGGCTGTATGCCTTGCAACTACCACCTAGGAAATGAAATCCAACTCAGTTGGTTTTGTTCAATTACACATGATTCGGGAACAAAGAGCGTAACCGAAGTACATGCGAATCCGTCACATCGGAGTCCCATTGTCTTCCGATGCTCGGTCACGCAGCTCGCTTCGCGAATGACGCTGTAACGTACGTTGGAAAGCACTGCGGACGCAAAGACACCCGCTGTGATTGCCACCGCCAACGCCTTCTTCGTAAAGTTGTACCACATTGGATACAACCTCCGTGGCCAAAAGAGTAGGAAGAAGAAGTCCGCTCCAAACAGTGTTGCGACGAAGACGCAGAAACAGATGGTCATAGCTTCGGCAACTAATATGTCATGCTGGTGGAGACTTGAGCGACCGTGGGTGTACTTTTCAATGTGCTCTTGGAGAGCAGTATATTTGGCGAGGGAATAGGTAGCTGTGCATTCAGCTGCGAGACAGGTAAGCATAGCAAGTTGGTAGATGACTGATCGTGTTCGAGTGATGTCGTGCAACGATGGACGTGCGCCATTTGGACATGTGCCCAATGAGCAGAAATGGTTAGAACAACTCGCGGGCTGACGGTCGATAAGAAAGGGGAAAGTATCCACGCACTAAATCGCTCCCTTCGGAGATGCCACCTGCCACTCATCATGCTTCGCGTGCTGAACGCGCCCCAAGACATCTCGCCTAGATCGAAACCCCAGATGACAGGCGCCATATTGAAGTAATGTGTGCCGAGCGAGTCTTGTCTGCTTGGGGAGAGTCTTAGAACAGAAGTTGAGCAGTAGTTAGGGAAGGTTTGAAGGGGAAGCGAATCCCGCTGGTGTGCGGTGGGAAGACGAGCCAAGGCCGGCGAATTATCAAATGCAAATTACCCAATGAAGCGTGGACATGCTTAAATACACGGTGGAACACCGCTCACCCACGATCATGTGATTGCTTCAGGCCCAATTCCGTTGCGGTGATCATGCTTTTTTCTAGGTTAGATAACTCTCCCGCGGCAGTGACATGGGCAAAGGGGTGCCTAACAACGCATCGAATCGGTCTACCATCGACCAGATGCCCTCAACCACGGTTTTAGAGACACGATCCACTGTTTCGGCTGTCAGCACTTCACATGTGAGACTTCTTATTTCCATGCGTGCAGCCCACTGGCACCCGAAACCTCAAGCTGAGCACCCGTTCCCCCCCCTAACTGCACGTTTACCAGCAGGCGGAGCCTACTGGCTCCCGGCCAACACCTTCTGAAGACCTGCCTCGGCTACAATTCGAATACAGATGGTGGGCGGTAGCGCTCTACATCATCTTCCTCATGTTTTGTAATCTATGTAAGGGCGACCTATCCATTTGTGTCTAGGACAACCTATTGATGTCCCTTCCTGAAGTGTTCCCTTGCCTGGTTTTCTATCTCATTCGAATATGTGCGCAGTCCTTTGTTCCATTTATCAGCTCGCGCCTCCTGACCACCGTCAAATTTTCTAGATGGAAAGAAGATTACCTTGCGGACAAACATTGGCATCTCTTCAGCCTCGTTGGGCCTCTCCTCATGCTTTGATGCTCCTTTCCGTCTGTACAAACGTGAGTGTCCCCCATACGAAATGTATTTCCGGAACACTTAGTCTCGGCACTTTCACGTGTTGGTGGCGTGGGTTCCCCTCGGCGTTTCCGGGTCTTAATTCGGGCGGTGGCTGTTCTCGTTGTCCATGACAGTCGTCCGGTTTAGACAGCGCTATGGACCGTTAAACGACGATGTGTTTTGGCACGCAGATTTTTTCATGTGGGCATACACAATCTGCCTGTTCACTTTTGCTTTCCCGCTGGCTATCGCCCCGGCCCTCAATCCAATCGCTCTGTGCGTCCCCTTTCTCGTTCGTGGAGCACCCTGACAAATAGCCTGATCTTAATTCATAGAGATTTCTTCCTCATGTCCACAACACTCCTCATAACTCCTTTCGGTGTGCTCCTCCTCGCCACCCTCATCCCATTCCGTTCTGGTGTCCCCTTCTGGCTATCCTCTGACCCACCCTACACGACGCCCATTAAACCAGGAATCCTTTACGTCACAGAAGACATAGGGGCAGTAGACTTCACCCTGGGTAGAACTTACCGTACCCAAATTCACGCTCGCTATGCCTCAAGTCCACCTTTCCGTCGATTAATGTACATCCTTACATGGTACTTCGGTATAGCATGTCTACTGTTCATGGGAATAACAGCTGCTGTCGTATGGGGCGCCAAGGGCGGAGACGATAAACCAAGGTTCGGAGGAAGTGGATCTCAGGAGGAGGATTTGAATTTTAGGTTCGGGTGGGTGCTCGGGCAGGTGTTTTTGTGGGTAGGGGCGGTTGGATTAGGGTGTTGGGGATTGTGAGGTGGGGATTGAAGAAGGAGCAAGAGTGGTGGGATAGGAGGGGGTTGGTAGAGAAGGAGAAGTCGGGTGGGGAAGGGAGTTGAAGTGACGTAGTTGATGCCTGGTTCGTGCATATTGCTCCCCTTTTAACATTTTGCGTCGAGTTTCTTCATGACATTTCTTGTGGCATGGCGTAGCATGGGATATTCTCTTTCCGCATACTGCTGGCTTTGTCCTTCTGAAATTCTTTGGATTTTACTATCGTGGCGAGATCTGTGTATCGCATTATGATACAGTGCGCATTGAGGACAAGGATAATTGAGCCGAAGGAACACGTATGGGAACTAGGGAAAACGATGCAAAAGTTTCAAGCAAGCGCATAATGGTTCTGTAGTGGAAGTTGTTAGTCCAACCGACCCCAAGTCTTGGGAAATATAGCAGACCTCGTCTGTGGTTGCATAGATGTGACCATTCTCCGTCAACCAATCGATCGCCTCGCTAATTTGTTGTGCCACATCAGTACTACCTTGTGTTGGCAGTTGACCCCTGATACCCTTGGCGATATCCAGGAAGCTAATCCCATCCTCGGAGGCATTCGCGGCATTGGCTTTCATCCATAAGTGAACGAGTCTACCGGCATCGCTGAAGTCTTTATAGAAGTCTCCGCTCAGCGAGGACGAGGGGTTCGCTGCGGCTGAATATTGAGATGGAACGCCCCTAGCTGTGCTGGTTTTATCGCCTGCTGCTGCTGACGCCCCGGGACCTAACATTGAAGGGGAAGGTCCATATTTCGAGTACAAGTGAGTGTAAAGCGCATCGATGTGGTGATAATAAACTTCATTCATGTCTTTACTTGGATCATGGATGTCTTTCGCTATGGGAATAACGACGAGCGCGTTTATGGTTCTTTTGTTGTTGAAAGATTTTACGTGTCCGATGATACGGACCCAGGAGTTGTCCTCGATGCTTGGATTGAGCGGGTCTCGGTCCTCGTTTGACTCGATCCATCTGCGGGCTTCGATGCGGCCTGTACCGTCGTAGACTGTGTAGACATGGTGGGTGGTTTGGATGATCGAGGAGAGGACCATTGCCACAATGACGATCTGAGATGAAAATATGAATACGCAATGAAGGGTATAGAACTAAGTGTACGAAACTTGTGTTGGTTCAACTCCTTCGAAAGAAAACTCAGCGTCCGCGTGGGATTGGACAGCATCATGGATTTGCATGATCGTTACAGGTCGCAACGAATAGCCGTGTTTCTGCATCATTTGGATCTCTTGAATTAAGAGAAATCGGGCATGTGTCCTTTGAAACAAACCAACCTTACCCTCCCCTCCACTGTCTTGACTCCCGCTGGGTAAATATCCGCCTCCGCCTCCACTGCCTCCACCATTGTAATAAGGTCCGGTGTTGCCGAAATCTAGTGAAAGCACGCGCCAACAAGAAAGTTACAATTTTTTTGGGGACGGAGGGGGTCATAATATGCATATAACGCGCGAGTCTCGTACCAGACATTGATGGTTTTTGGATAAACCGAACTAGAACGCGAAGACAGGAGGGATGAAAGGTCAGATGATCGAGTTCAGAGAGTGGCAGTGCCCAGGCTCTTTTTCAATTGAATTGAGAAACCCGATTTTTTCGAGCGTTCTTCAACGCTAACTTTGTTGCCCACCATGTCGGACAACGACTCCATGGATTTGGACTCTATGGAGCCAGTGATGCAGCCCAGGAAGCCGAGGATTCGAGTAAGTAGGTTTTCTGGACAAATCTGGGGTAGGCCATTGAGATGAGTCTAATCATCAGGGCAAATCCTATGAGAAACGTTTGCAAGATGTTCACCTTCCGTCTACGATGCTTGATACCCTGCTAGATGAGGACTTACCAGTGCGTTTTTTATGGCCACTTGCCGATCGAATCTGAATACTTTCCTCGTATGCAGGAAGGGTCCTCCCATTTCCAATACCACCTTGCACATCTTCGACAACTCAGCTTGGGGTCCATGTTCACAGAATATTCGAGGATTGTTTATCCTCTCTCCAGGTCTATGCCTTTACTTGTGTTGAATTGGAAGGCTGTAGGCGAAGCTTGGATTGAAGCAATTAAGGGTACAGAAGAGTCAAAGGAGCAAGGCGAAAGTTACAAGCCGTTATTCCGGTATGTTGGTGACATCTTATGTGTGGCGTATGAGCGTTGATCTATATGGCTCGACATCGTATTGTTTCCCCCACCTGTGCCTTTAGGCTGCTTCAGGCTTATATTTACGACCTCCGTTCGATCATTCAGCCTCTTTACAATCCTTTTCTCAAGACACTTCTATCACTGATTTCGCTGAGGCTAGATATTAAAGTTCTGGCTGAGCTGATGGCTTCATTGCTTTCTCTTCTCAAATTCGTTCTCGTCCCTAACCTTACACCTGAATTGCTGGATGAAACTTGGGGGGAGTTCGTTGGGGCTTTTCAGAGGATAAGAGTCGATCATTCTAGGATGCTCGGGGAAGTATTGGGTGCTATCTTAAGGAGAATGAAGAGCATCGATAGGAAGAAACTCAACACGTTAATGTTTAACTCTTTGCAAAAGGATGACACACCTCGATTGCGGGACGCTCTTGCTTGGCCATTTATCTATGCGTGCCAGGTAAGTTGAATTTTTACGAGATTATTGAGACATGTGTAACTCAGACAGCAGGGTCCGCAACATTCACTGCACACATCCTCGAGCCAAATCGTCTCGGATTTACTCGACGTTCATTTATCATTGTCATTGTCATCGCAGACGTCTATCTTGGGTGACACCGCTGAGGAGGGATACTCCCCATTCACAACCGAGAATGCAACTGGCACACTCCTTCGCCGCCTCCTTTCGTCGCTTGCCCACCATGTCAAGGACGCTGCTGCCTACGAGTCGGCATCTGTTTCTGTCCTTGACGCATTCGTTAAGGAGGTGGAAGGTGCTACAGAGTCGGATGCTGATGCCTCACGACTCGTTGCGATGTTGCGAATAACAACCATCCCGGTTATGGTATTGCAGGGAGCCAGGATGCAAGGTGTGTATCGTGTGACGTTTATAGCAGAGCGGAATAAATGACCCCGGGCCTCTTACTTTCCTCTAGCATCCCAATTACGAAAAATTTTGGAAGCACTTTGTCAAGTTCCGCAACAAGTTGTTTCTGCCCACAAGGAGGATTATGGGAACCTCATAATTGCAGTCTTGTCGTCTTCCTCTAGCGAGGTGGCGGTATGGCTGCCAAAGAATCTGGGGAAGCGCGCAATGGAGAAAGTTTGGGAAGTGCGCCTTTTGTTGTGTTTGGCAGATCAGAATTTGTGCTTAATTTCATACACAGGATCCTGTTTCTGGTCTCCAATTTTCTGGGGCTCTAGCCGAAGCGGGATGGGATGGCTGGAAAGCCATTGTACTGCCAGAACTAGCCAAGTATGCCGCTTCTTGAAGCGATATGCTGATGGTACTTACCCCCATCACTGTAGGCACCTACCGGTAGCACTCTCTTCGGGTGGAATATCTTCGGATGTCGCATTAAGAACGCTCATATATCTTGTTGAGAACAACCGTCTCGACACTAATTGCCTTCCCAATGGCTCTCAATGGTGGGGAAGCATAACGGATTATTTCAAAGAAAGATTAAAGAGTTGGACCCACAATGTAGAGAATGTGAGTTCGCTTGGCTGGGCGTAGCGATGTCTCTTCTCTGACTTGGTGTTGACTCATGATGATAATTGCAGACGACACGACTCATTGCAATAGCCATTTGTGTGAAGGCACTCCCGGCATCCGATCGCGATGCTGTGGCAACGCTGTTCGTCGATATCATCGATTCCATTCTTTCGCTGTCAGAAGTCGATTACCATGCGAGGTTCTTGGAATCTCCGTTCAATGAGGCCCTTGTGGTCTCAGTATCTTTTGCTACTTTAGCTGGCATGGACAGCGATGCAGTGCGATCATCGATCCTCCCAAAGTTGGATCGTTGGTTAGAGATCATCACGTCTTCATGGACATGGAGTCCGGATGTGCTGAACTCTATCCATATCCTTTGCAAGGATGTGTATGTCTCGCCCAAAATTCCTTGCTATACCTTTACTTTATGCTAATTCTGCATTTTAGTAATCATAAATCAACCATCCAGCAAGACGTCTTATTTTCTCGACTTCGCCCCTGCATTATGTCTCATCATGCTTTCCGAAGAATTAGAGCCCTGCACCTTCTCTTCTACAACGCTAACTTGAAAAATGATTCCACGTCAAATTCTGTCTCGCCAAGCTCCCTTTTACTCCAATCGATGATTGCCGCCGATGATTCCGTTCTGGAGGTGTCGGCGGTTCGAGAAAGGATCTTTCGAACAACGAATGTCGGCGCCACAATTCGTGATGACGCTGAGGTTTCGGACGTACAGCTCGCTGGCATGTGGCTTCTTGGTGAGTCCGTAATCTCGACTACTTAGATCTTACGTTTAATCAAGATGCCCCTCGCCGCAGCTCAGCTGAAGGTTAACCTACAACCGCTATGGAAGCCGACGGTGGAGAGTTTTGCGTCTCTGATGGAAAGGTTTCCAGAGACTCTATGGCAACTCAGTTTCAGCGTGTTGAAACTTGTCGGAGAATCGGTGGAGGGGCAGGATCCTTCCCTGGATCCAGTTCCAGTGTGGTCCGAATACTTTAAGGACCAGGGTATCATCCGAGAGTCAATTTTCCGTGATGATCAAAATACATGGACGGATTCAAGTGCGCACCGCTTGGTTGGTGTTGGACGTCGATGGCGTCAACAACTATCCCAAGTAGTGACGATGAAACTACCACTCGTGAGTATTGCTAGGGTCGATTGCCTAGCCGTATGTCGCTAACCTCGGTGAGTAAGGGTTATGGGGAATACGACCGTCTCGACCTGGAAAATTTCGAAACTCAGATTCTTGCCATCTTCGCACAAGCCTCCACTATCGCCAAAAAGCATAGCTACGAACTCTCTCCGTATTCTCTTTCAGTAATGCGGTCGGGAACGACTTCACACCGGAGGTTGAAGGCATACCTCTCAATGATAGCCAAGCTACCTAATCCAAGGACTCTCCACTCCTCATCTGAGCTGTACTCCTTCTATTTCTCTATCGTCGCAGCTCCGAATCATTACCTACAGAGTGTTGCACTGGATTGCATTCTGGCCCATCGGCCGCCAGCTATCTCGCCGTATGGGGAACGATTGCGCAATGTCATCGACGAAACCAAGTGGCGGGATGAGCTGTTGTCTTTCAAACTTGACAGGCATATCGAGCCTGAACATCGTGCTGAGTTTGTGCACCTGCTTATTTGCCTCCTTTACCGTCGGTTGGTGGAGAAAAGAGCTCGGCACTCGAAGGGGAAGAGGCCTGTCGCTGCATATGGGATGCTGAATACCTGCACCAGTGCTGAACTTCGTACACTAGTCAACCTTATGCTGCAACCTTTTCCCATGAGGATGGACTCATCCTTCATTGACGCATTTGAATTTCAGGGTCTGGGAGATACCAATCTTCACAAACAATCGGCATTTCTTGATCTCCTCAGCGATGTACACAAGTATTTGGGTGCTCATATGACCGATCACTGGCCGGTCTTGCTTGGAACGACCCTGGAAATAATAAACAACGCTGAGCGCCTTTTGTCAGTGGGGACATCTGCAGCTGATGTTGCGGAGGAGGAAGAGGAAGAAGAGCCGGAGGCCGCCCTCGATGATGACCAACTCATCGAGACGGAAACTCAAGGTGGTCTATCCATACAAGACTTGCCAGCCCAAGGATCCAGCGGACTTCTGCGGTCCGTACGCCAGAAAGGATTGAGGTGTTTCAACAGCTTTTTCGTATTGACCAACGGCCAATTTGATTTCCTGCCATATATGGGTTCAGCATTCCAGTCCTTTATCATTCCTCGCATTCGCGCGATTGGCGAGAACTCTCGGGTACCTATCCTATTGATAGATGTGCTCTTGACGTTCTCAAAATCTCCCCTTACTTCACGCTTCTTAGTTGATTACGATGCAGACCTTCTCCCTACAGTTTTTCAATCTTTGGATCACCCCGACACGAAACCTATGGAGATCATGAAAGTGCTTGATCTCGCCCAAGCCGTGGTTGAACACGCGGTCAGCAATCCTCGTTTTGCTGAAGATGCTTTGCTTCCAAATGTGACCTACCTAATGGAACGGCTTACGCACTTGGCTGCGCGCCGCTCAAGCAGTTCTTCTATTGTGGAGCGTCAGTTTGGTATCTTATCGTCGTTGTCCCCGTTTATCCAGGACCCAAGTCAGGCGGAACGTCTCTTTCGTCTTATTCTTTCAATGCTCTGGAAATCGCTTCCAGAAACACGCCAGCTCAGCCTAATTCAGATTATGGAAACACTGGTACAGTTTGTTCCAGATTGTCAAAATATGAGTAGTCGGCTCGGGAATGATGCATTTCAATGCATATCGAGGTTATTTCAATCTTCGTGCGAGCGTACCACACGAGACGCATTGGTGGCAGTGTTTCGACAATTATGTGGCGGGGATTCGTCATTAGAGACTACTGCAAAACTGGTCGATGCACTCAATTCATACCTGAACACAAAGGATATCCCGGACTTCGAACGAAGACTCAATGCATTTTCTACCATAAATGAGGATGCATATCGTTCGTTATCGCATACGGCGTGGCTTCCAATTTTGTACAACATGCTCTTCTTCGTCGAGGATAGACACGAATTTTCTATTCGTATCAATGCCGGTCTTACACTACGCCGCTTTATCGATCGGACCTCAGCTGAAAGTGACCAGCATCGCGGTAAGATTCTGCACCTGGCCCTGCCCCTCAATCATCTCTTCTGACCCCTATAAAATAGATAATCCATTCACCCCCACGTTTAGATCCATCATCTATCCCTCTTTGTGTCGAACTATCCGCTGCAAGACTGAGAATGCCAGGATGGAAGCCCTGAAAGTCATTGGGCATGCAGTTGAAAAACTGTCAGGGATCCCGTTCCTTAAAGAACTTCAACCACTCATTGGTGACACCGGTAGAGACAGCTTCTTTCACAATCTATATCATTCCCAAAAGCAACCAAGGATCCGTGCGATTCGGAAATTAATCACTCAAGGTGGTAACATCCGTGCCACCACTATCTCCGCTCTCCTCTTACCATTATTATCACACTTCCTCGATGTGAACGCGGATCGCGATGTTCAAGACATGTCAGTTGTCGCTTTCGGTAGCCTATCTCGCAATTTAGCCTGGGATCCGTACCTTGGGCTGATTGAGACTCGCTTGAAGGATGCGAGGCTGTGTAACGCTAGAAAACGTGGTGCAGCGAAAATTCATTTGCGCACTGTAAATGCCGTAATAGACAATTTCCCGTTTACCTTGGACGGGGTGACGGACGAAGGGGAAGATGAGGATGCAGACGGGGAGGGAAATGCGGAAGAGGGGAATGTAGAGAAAGACGAGGACCATACTCAAAAGTCCCAGCCTGACCTTCGAATTGCGGATGCGATTACGGGACGTTTGCTGCCCGCACTTTTTCGTTTTATGGACAAACGGGATCCGAAGGACAAGACACCGTTCTTCGTTGCCACGAGCATTGTGCGCATGTGCAATAAGCTTCCAGAGACCACGCGGCAAACACATGCTGCACGGCTCATCACGATCTTGAGCCAAGCCCTGAGGACCAAAATTGAGCCGATAAGGGTGTTCGTCAGGGCGACTCTCTGCCGCATTTCCACAATGCTGGGAAACAGTATGCTGCCCGTCCTTTTCCGCGAACTGCGACATGCTCTAGTGCGGGGCTCCCATCTTCATGTCCTTGCGCATGTCACCCATACGCTTCTTTTCCACGTTACGTCCCGAGAGCATGCACAGTCATTTGGGAGTCTAGATGCCGCCACGGAGGCAGTTGCCCACATTGCTTTTGAGGTAGTTTTTGGCCAGTCCGCCGAAAGGTCGGAGTCCGAAGGCCTCAGGGCAGCCTATCGAGAGGTTCTCGGTGCTGTGCCCATGGGTGTGCAGTTGTTTGGTATCATGGCCCAGCAAATATCATCATCAAAGATCCGCCCCCTTCTGGAGCCTATTCGAGCCTTACTTCATGAAACAGAATCCGGGAAAATACTCCAGAAAATTGACGAAATTTTAGGACGCATTGCAAGCGGGTTAAATGCAAATAAATACCTCACTCCCACCGACATTTTGTCTTTGTGTCATACCCTACTTACCCAGAACGCTCAGTTCCTGCGAGGGAACGTGGTAAATCCTCCAAGCGAGAAAAAGAAGAGCGATGTCGATGTTCAACTCACACGACACGTTGCAGTAGTCAAAGATCTCTACTCGATCAACTCGCACAAGTTTGTCGCCCTCGGCTTGAATCTGTTCAATGCGGCTACCAATAGATTTGATATCAAGGATCTAGACATCTGTTCTCGTTTAGATCCCCTGGTAGTAGCGATCAGCCCAACGCTTCATTCGCCTCACAATGTCGTCTTACTTCCTTCTTTGCGGGCATCAGCCACCATCTTACGCTTCCCTCTTCCAAGTGTCTCCGACCACCTGCAGGCCTACGTACAACAAATTCTCCTTATTTGCAGAAAAGACGGTTCGACGGAGTCCGAAGTTGTCCAGATGGCTCTGCGAACGATCGCTTCCGTGATGCGGGACTGCCCCGAGTCCGTATTCGAAGAAGCAGATATTTCCTTCATACTGGAACTTATCGCCCCCGATCTTGAGGAACTTGATAGGGAAGACGCTATCTTTACCATCCTGCGAGCTATTGTGTCACGTAAATTCGTGGCGCACGAGATTTATGACATCATGGACAAAATTGCTGAGCGCATGGTCACCAGCCAGTCCCAGCATTCCAGGAGCATTTGCCGAAAATTGACCTTGCAATTCGTGCTCGATTATCCCCATGGTACAAACAGACTCAAAAATACTATGACATCGCTAGCCAAGAATTTGTCTTACACGTTCGAGAGTGGCCGGATTTCTACATTGGAGCTCCTCCTCTCCCTATTCTCCGTGATTCAACTATCTTTGCTATGTGAATATGCGGAACTTTTCTTCCTCGCCCTCGTGATGCTGCTCGCCAACGATGACTCCTCGAAATGTCGGGAAAAGGGTGCCATGGTGATGAAGGTCCTCCTCCAGCGGTTGGACGAGACGATTCTGAAGTCCGTGGCGGTTCATCTCCAGAAGTGGGTCCAGAAGACCGCACAACCTTCTCTCGTACGAACGGCCGCACAGATCTACGGTATCATTGCTGGTGCCCCTCGAGTTATGAGAACGATCGGTGGCGCTGATTTCATCGTTGACGACTTGAACGGATTGCTAGTGGCAAGTGCATCAACTTTAGGTACCTTCGAGTCTAGATGGGCTGAGAGGCTCGACGTTTCTGAGATGGACGTATCAGGCTTAGAGTGGCAAGTGCCATACCAAGCCTTGACGTCGCTCAACAATCTTGTTCAGCCCAAGCGAACTCCTAACGAGCCTCAGAGTGTTCCGCCGCACATCGACGATATCCGTTGGAATAAGGTTACAGACCATCTTCTTTTCCCTCATGCCTGGGTACGCCTGGCTTCCGCACGGCTTCTTGGGTCGCTCTTCAGCGTGTCGCCTATTGGCTTTCCAGATCCCTCTCTTCCATCTTCTCACCCATCGTCCCGTGAAGGATCAGTCGATATCGCAAAGAAATTATGCCTTCAACTGAGAAGCCATCACCTTGATGACAAGCTTGGTCTTCAGATTGTTAAGAATCTATTCTACTTGGGGCGTTGCTTTACACATTGGCCAGAAGCACAGCGTCAGGACCCTGCCACGGATACTCAAGACTCGCAAGTACCCGGGGAATTAACAAAGGAGGATGATTTGAAACGCGTGGTGTATCCGTTGCCGTGGCTTTTCTCTAAGCTGTCGTTCCAGGCTCGTAGAGCGTTGGACCGGAAACGGAGTGGGAAGGTCAGTTGCCTATTCCTATATGACGTACCAGTGCAATCTTTGCTAAAATGTCAACAGGACCCATCGGAGCATCATATGTCCTCTATCCTCAAGTGGTTCGCGGCCATGGTAGACTTTATGTCCCCGGATGATGTCGAGAAATATCTCAACGATATACTGAGTCCGCTCTACCTCGTGATGAGGACTGGAGCACGGAACGAGAGGATGGGTGAGTTGTCGTCGTTCGTTATTGGTCCGAGAAAGGATGCGATTCTCATCCTTTGTTCCAAACAGTCGAGCTTCAAAACCTCAGTGAAGAGCTGCAGGATATGCTTCAAGCAAAAGTTGGGACCACCAAGTTTACCAGAATCCGCAACAGCGTCCGCCAAGGACTCCCCAAGAAGTTCGGTGCAGGACGGAAGGCGACTGTGGTTTGTGTCATTCCCACACCTATAAGTTGAGGTTGCACCAATTCTCACCCCTTGATACAGAAATTGGTCGTTCCCAAAAAGAAGTATTTGAAGAGAAAACGTGATAGCGAAACGTAAGCTGAGATTTTTGTTCTATTTGTAGTACTTGCTGATTGTCTAATATGTAATACTTTGTTGTTGTTCAGTTACACAAAGATAAAGCGTCACCCGTCGAAAAGAGCCCGATTCGGTTGAGGAATTGCTGCGCTCCACATCAACCAATAGCATTCCTCACATACTACTAGATATACTATATCTTTTTGTTTTAATTACATCAACTATCACATCAAACCATCCGTTCTTCGACACCTTGGAAGTGTGTTATCCTTGTTATCCACCCTTGGGGACGTACAATACGGCTCTTGCATTGTAGTTGGATATCACTCACGTACAATTAAGCATTAAGGATCCCATTCCGCGTTTAGTTTTCCCATGGACAAAGTTACGTCTTCGCAGCTGGGTTGTCCAAATTAACCTCTTTCCTGTGTCCCAAATATTGGCGTAAAGGGCAACCTGTAATCGAATATTGAAATCCTTTGGGCATGAACTGAATGCCTACTATGGCCTCTCGATGGAGGGCCCGTCGCGAGTCGGAGGACAGTGTTTGTGTCGACAGCTTGAAACTACTTGGAGAAGATATGCTACGTAGTTCCAACTTAGTGAAGCGGATCAGCAAGCAAGTGGCGCGCAGCAATTGAGTTGGTTATCGCGTCAGACGGCGTCCACCAGTTTGAAATTGACCTGAATTTGAATCATCACAAGGTTCCGAGCCATTCATCGGTTGTAATTACAGCGATTTGGATGAGGTTGACTAGTTAGGATACAACTAGTGGATCATCATCATTTACGTTGGACTATGCGGCCCGTCATTCAATCGGGCCCGCCGCTTACATATTGTTGTAAGGTCGCTCAAGTATTTATGATACCCCGCCGCTCCACAACCACTCATCCAATTGGCTAGTTTTCTTTATTTAGTATCTATCACTTGTCCGACATTTCTCCTAATGTCTAACATCTGTGACTTTTATAACAGTTGTCGTTACAATTACATAGCATCCCCGCTGAGCTATGACCGACTCGTGACGAGGACTGGCATCTCTAGCTTTAAGGCAGAGGTTATGATAGTTGGTGAACAAACAAGGATCGAACAAGTCCGGTTATTGTCCCCGAGGAAGGACGGCTCGCTGCGAGATTAAACAGAGGCAATCGCTCCTCGAGAGCCAAACGAAATCGTCTCACACGAATGAGTAACCTTGGGGAAATGTACCTAGTTCCAATGGAAGGGACTTCACAGAGCATCCGGCGCGTAGCATCAGTTAAACTGTATTCCAAACCATCGAGTCGTATTGTCAAAGAATATGTCGATGCGCGCAACTGGGTACAGATTCGCAGAGAAGCTGAGCACTGTCGAATAAAAAGGACTGGCTAGTCAGGAACCCATAAGAACATCGGTGCAGGATGCGGTTACACATGTTCGGACGTATGATAGTCCACGCACCGCCTATGTCTAGTCATCAGCAAACGTACAGCCCGAACAGACCGAGAGGATTCTGGAACTGCTAGGAAAATCGGAGGAGCAAAAGCGAAACTGACTTTTTTGTGACAGTGCGTTGGATTGGGGTGGAATCAATCGTTGATCGATTGACCCACCTTTTATGTTCCTACCTTTGGGCACTTGGAAAAGACGGCGGCTGATTTGTTTCACCGTGACAGCGACCCTCTCATCACGATCATTATAGGTCTTCATTATTTAAGTAGTACGAGTCTACTACTTGTCCTTTCAGCATATCAACCGTAATAAGTAAACGAAACCTTCCTATGTGGGTTCGAAACGTTAATCGTTCGGGGGCGATTGTTTCGAATTCACTACATGTGTGCGGATGTACCTGGCACTTTATACCCAAGTTGGGTCGCGTGTGTATGGGGCGGGTTTGTAAAAACACTTTGGGTTCGGGGATGTCCGTGTACGGGTGGCACCGCGCCACTGAATCCTTCCGCCGCGTTGGATATACAAACGAGTTCATTCATTAGAGTTCCACATTATGCAGAGTGTGTCCAACGAGAGCCCGGACAGCCATCTTCATGAGAAATACTACATAGGCGTCGATGTGTAAGCTATCTCACTTTCCTCGAAGGCGCAACACCGATAGATCAACCGACACTGTTTGTTCCTTTCGATCAGGGGCACTGGCTCTGCCAGGGCTGCCCTCGTGAACCACACTGGCAAAATCGTCGCCACTAGATCAGAACCAACGAAAACGTTCCGCTCCGCAACCGACTCCAATATCTTTGAGCAATCGACTCCCGACATTTGGCGGGCGATCTCTATCTGCACACAAGACGTTTTAAAGCAATCGGGCGTCAAACCAAACCAGGTCAAGGGATTAGGATTCGACGCTACTTGTTCATTGGCTGTTTCAGACCTGCAGGGGGAGCCCATCACTGTCACTGTCGGAAACGAGCTCGGGAAACCCGGTGACAGGAATGTGATCCTATGGGCCGATCATCGTGCTCATGCAGAAGCTCAGCTCATCAACTCCTCAGGATCAGACGTACTCAAGTATGTGGGCGGCACCATGAGCGTAAGACTCATTGATTGATTGACGTCCATCTCATGATTCCAAGCCTGACCTGACTTTTATTTTTATTTTAGCTCGAAATGGAAATCCCAAAGACGCTTTGGTTAAAAAATAACATGCCACCCGAACGGTTCTCCCAATGTCAATTTTTTGACCTTCCCGATTTTCGTACGTGCCCTTCCTGTTAATTCAGGAGCTCAATGAATTAAGTCATGCACCCAGTAACATACAAGGCCACATCTAACCACAGCAGGTCATCCTGCTCCTTGGTCTGCAAATGCTCCTACGTCCCACCGCCAGCAGGGAAAGGCTGGGACGACGAATTCCTCACTAAAATCGGCCTCAAGGAACTTGTTGATGAGGGATTCTTGAGACTGGGAGGCTTTCCTGGGAAGGACGGAAGTGCAATTATGACTGCTGGCCTCCCTGTTGCGAAAGGTTTGACCAAAAAAGCTGCTGATGAACTCGGACTACTTGAGGGTACCCCTGTTGGGAGTGCTGTCATTGACGCGTGAGTGCATCTTCATATCTTCGTCCAGTCAGTGGGACCCTGAAGCACCTGGAATACACCCTAGGTACGCAGGGTGGATCGGTACAGTTGCGGCGCGGTACACAACTCGTAGAGACGCGAAGGAACTCAGTGCACCGGTTTCGCTGTCGGATTCTCGTCATCGATTGGCTGCAGTGGCGGGAACAAGTACATGCCATGTTATTCATGTAAGCCGATATTACAGGTCCTTGCATGGATGATACCAAAGCAAATTTTGTCAGAACCCGGATGGGATTTTCGTTCCTGGAGTGTGGGGCCCGTACAAGGTTCGCATGATCAATCCCGATTTTTTTGGGTCATTTCGGGATACTAAAATATTGCGCGGACAGAACGCCGTCTTCCCTGGCTGGTGGATGAATGAGGGCGGACAGAGTTCAACCGGTCAAGTAAAAAAAAAATTCAACTGGGGATATATGCAATGGTTCCTATTGAAGATAATACTTGTTGTTTCAGCTTATCGACTTCGTGATCACGAATCATCCAGCTTACCCCGAACTCGTTGAAATCTCAAGGAAAACCGGGAAAAATATTCATGTCATACTGGAACAAAGGCTCGTGGAACTGCAAAGGGAGGCTGCCGAGAAGAAGGCCGCCAGACTTGGGAAAAAAGTGGAAGAGATCGATTTCGGGTTGACGGAACTAACGAAAGACCTACACTTCTACCCGGATTTGCACGGTTAGGCGGTCAGTCAGATTGTGTACGGATCACTCCTTGCTGATAGATTATCCGGAATAGGAAACCGTTCTCCACTGGCTGACCCCGAGATGCGAGGATCCATCGTTGGCTTGACCCTTGACAATTCGCTAAATGACCTCGCGTTGAAGTTCAACGTCGCACTCGAGGTAGGAGTAGTTCACAGTCCGAAGGGTATTTTGAGCTGAAAACATGATTCACCCAGGCGATTGCCTTGCAGACGCGTCACATCGTCGACGAGATGAATGCAAGGGGTTACGACATTAAGGGCATATTTATGAGCGGTAAGCAAAGTGGAAGTTATGCTTCGGGGGTTCCACCCCTTTTCTCATCATCAACGATTTCAGGTGGACAAGCAGCAAATCTCGCTCTCATGAATCTATTTGCGAATGTCTGTAAGATCCCCGTTATTCTACCTCACTCCTACAGCGCAGCTGTTGTAATTGGCTCCGCAATGCTGGGGCGCTATGCCGCCGAAGTCCACGAGCAGATAGGAGGGAAGGTCCTTTTCATGCAGGAGGAAATCGAGAGGGTGAGCGAAGAGAACAAGGAACGACTTTGGGATATCATGGTGAGTGCGGACTTTCGATGAGTAAAAAAAATTAAATTAAAATCTTGGGGACTGTCGCAGGTTGAGATGACTCAACCTGGAATTCAGATCGTCCCCGGGGGTACTGACCGGGAGAAGAGGTTGCTGGAAGCAAAATACAAGATCTTTCGGGAAGCCATCGTGATTCAAAGGAGGTGGCGGACGGAGATGGCTGAGGCATCTAGTGACTAAGGGAGGGATGACTGCTCCGACAGCCGGGTTTCATAGTCAAAAACATGGAAGTAGATGAGGCAGACACGTCTGGAAGCCAGGACTCTGGCCTCTGCAATAGGTGGGTCTGTTAGATAGCATATAGACAGGATCGAACCAATAGCCACAATTTTTCAAAGATGACTGTATTTTCTGATTGGTGGATTTGCAAACCTTGAAGTCGACAAGCTCAACCCTCGGTCATGCACAGCCACTAGGCATCATAAGCCACCTAAGTGAGGAATAATGGTTGAAAATAACCATGAATGGTAGGTGGCCTTTCGGATTGCTTTCTTTTGCAAGGGCCTCGGTGTGTCAATGTTGTTGAGAACGCTGCACGGGTCCTTGTTAGATTTTCGGGGATTCTCACGGCCGCAACTTCACGTGATCGCGACTCTGTCCCCCCCCAACCTTCGCCAGCAACGTTTGAACGTGAGTATCGACTTTTGGCGCATATCTGCATCAGTTCTCGTGTATGTAGCCTCACCGCTGTCCATGGATACCTCACTTGTCGTACTGGATGAACGGATTGACATGGATGCACTAATTTTGATCTGGATGCACTTTGATTTGGAATCTTCCTCGTTCGCTAACTGAACACATTTTTGTCCAGTATGGGTCGCGTCATTCGTGCTCAGAGGCGATCTCACGCCATCGTACGTTTGTAGCATTACAAGGATGACTGAAATATTCCTGATTCCTGACTCGCACCCTGATAGTTCAAAGCCCACACCCACCACAACAAAGCACCCGCACGTATACGCACCCTTGATTATGCTGAGCGTAATGGGTACATTCGTGGACTTGTAAAGGAAATCATTCATGATCCTGGTCGGGGAGCTCCTCTTGCCCGTGTCGTTTTCCGCGATCCTTACCGATACAAACTCCGAACCGAAACATTCATTGCCACTGAGGGTATCCACACCGGCGCTTACGTTTACTGCGGAAAGAAGGCGACCCTCTCCGTAGGGAATATCCTTCCTGTGGGCAACCTGCCCGAGGGTATCGTCATTTGCAACGTAGAGGCCAGGCCAGGTGATCGCGGTACGCTCGCCAGAACATCGGGCAACTATGCTACAGTCATTGGTCACAACGTTGATGATCAAAAGACCCGTATTCGCTTGCCGAGTGGTGCCAAGAAAACTATTTCCAGCAGGGCTCGTGCAACTATTGGCATTGTTGCAGGTGGCGGACGTATCGACAAGCCATTATTGAAAGCAGGGCGGGCCTACTACAAATATAAAGCTAAACGCTACACGTACGCTCCCCCGATTTTCATTTTCTTAAATGCAACGTTGTTTCTGACGTACAAACTCCTTCCAGTTGGCCTCGCACTCGTGGTGTTGCCATGAACCCGGTTGATCACCCTCATGGTGGTGGTAACCACCAGCACATTGGAAAAGCCTCGACAGTACCAAGAAGCGCAGTTCCTGGTCAGAAAGTCGGTCTCATTGCCGCTCGCAGGGTACGTTTGCTCCATCCCCCTCATTGCTTATCACTCACGTTGATCTGTTTCTCCAAAGACTGGTCTGCTTCGTGGTACGAGCAAGAAGAAGGATCACTGAGCTTATCGTATTCCGCGTTATTTTTCCTATGGCCCACATTGGTGTATCGTAGTTTTGCATGCCCCCTACATGATCTTTCATGCTATGCAATCTTCAGAAGCTCCGCAAAATACTATTAGTGTCTCGATACTTTGATTCAACCTGGTGATAGCGAAATCGCTGCAGCTTATTATACTCTGTATTGGGCCCCTTAGCTGAATGCTGCCATTGAGTCTTGCTGCTGCTCTCGATCAAGGGGCTTTTGTTCTGAATGTTCATGGCGTCGAATTGAACCAAGGTTCTCGCCCCAATCCTTATCTCTTGATCATTTTTCAATCTGCACTATCTTTCATACATGCTTTGAGTTATCATGGATAAATCGATAGGCGTTCTCACCAGCAACACAAAATGGACGGTTCGCTGCCGCAGGAAATGGTTCTTGCAGCAGTTCGCTGATCACATTTCATAGCTCGACAGTATACAACCCATGATCTGACCTGTGGGAACGGTTGAGCTACTAAATCGTGTAAATTGAGCATGTTGCACGCGCGTAATCAACGGTAAGTCTCTTTGTAGAGTTGCAGCCCCAACTGACTGCACCTGTTGAGTCAAAATAATCGTATATAGAAGTGCACAGCTGATACATGCTACCGGAAATTGAAAGAGATATAAGGACCTTTGTGCGCATTTCCATATTCAACTGTGGTGAACAGTGATCAGCAGATGGAATGCAGCGGACTCGAAAGCATGAAATATTGTAGGGATCATGAGCTATTACAGTCTTTTATGGTGAACCAGGATCGTCGATTGTTACTTCACGGACAAGATTACGAATAATGTTCAGCATTTCTCGGATCATTTCATCTCGATTCCAGTCCCCTCGCCTCTGCCAGACGCAGTCCAAGCACATAGCTCGTAAATGTTCCAATTGTTCGATGGTCAAGTCCGAGGTTTCACCTGTAAGAGCTAAACGGAGTTGCCGAAGACCAGTATCGCTGACTTCGAGTGGAGGGTACTGCGGGGTTGGCGTAGGAGTCCGAGCGGGAGTAGGGGAGACTGTAAGTGAAATAGGGATGGACTCGAAGAGTTGGGTTGGAGGATGAAGAAAGTCGGACGGCTGGGGTGGGTTGAAGGTTGTAGGGGGGCACCTGATTCAATTGGAAGATTCGTTGCAGGTAGACTTGGTCTTTGCGCCAGACTGGTTGCATCGACGAGCATACTATTGGAAGGTTGAGAATCTACGAGGAACTGGACTGACAGCCGTGTAGGCGCGGACTCGGTGGGGATTGGGCACCGGGCAGTGTCTAGGTCCACTACGGTTGTCGTCTCATCCTGGTCTTCTAAAGATAGCTTAGCGCGTTTGGCGGGCGAGCGATTTCCGGTCTCCTCAAATGCAGTTTCCCTCACGTCTTGTAGAATTTCACTGTCCACGCGCGGACGTTTAAGCGTTCGCTCCAATCGCATCGGATCTTCATTCGACTCAGTCGCGGGCAATTCTGCAGCGCCAGTGCCCTGTGCAGCTGGTAGCGATGATTCACCAGTTGCGTTTTGGCCCTCTTGGGTTGGTTTAGGTGGAGTATCCTTGACGGTTTGGGCTTTTGTAGCTGTCCGCCTAGCCTTGTCCCTAGCCGCCATTCGCTCACATTCGAGCTTAAACTGGGCATCCCAAATGACAGCTTCAGCTTCCGAGTACATCTGATGTGCTTTGAATGCATGCTCGAGGTTGCATGGTGGTATCCGGGTGTTGTGCACCATGCGACTTAAATCTTGCAGGAATTCATCCGGTGTAAGGTATGCCTTGTCATACAACTTTTGATGCATTTTGTCGAAATCGACGTCATAAACCTTGGGCAAGGGTTGCGGGGGGGAAGAGGTGGCTGGTACGTCGGTGGCGGGCCCTGAAGTGGAAATAGGTGGTTGTTCATCTGAAGATTTTGCATCTCCATTGACGATGCCATTGACATGAGGAACAGTCGGGTTGGGCTGCTTTTCATTTGTCGAATCTATTTGTGTCGGGCCGTTCAACATTTCCACGTCGATAGGTTGCAGTGATTCTTGGTTCACAGAGGGAAGATTGGCTGATGCACCTTGAGCGAGCCTCTCACTCTCTGTTGCCACTGCCTCATGAGTTTCCTGAAAATGCAAGAAAAAGTTATGGGAAAAAATCCGGAAGCAGAAATATAACGGACCTCAACTGTTCTAACGAAACGCCGATAACGCTTCTTCAGATCAGAGAGTATAGGCCCTAACCGAACGGTTAATGTGACCAGAGTCTGACGATCTTTCTCTGCCTGAGCCGCAACCTCTGCGGCAGATGGCTGTCTGGGTGGTAGAGGAGGTGCCGGAGGAAGGTGCTCGAGAATTCTTCTTCTCCGTTTCACAGCATCTGGGAACTCGTTCGGCGGTCTCGACACCTCACTGAGAACATCACTGAAGAACTCTGATCGCTGGGACTCGGTTGGTTTAGTTAAGGCTATCCGCCCATCTAGCGAGTAGCCAAACCATTCTCGAATGTCTCGTGGCAAATGATGGAAGTCACCGTTCATGACGCCAAACAAGAGGATGGGATCAGTTGGGGAAAGGGAGTCGAGCATTTCTCGCATGGTCGTCCGGGCCACGTCGGATATAGAAACAGCCCAACCGGCAAGAGAAGGGATGAAGATTATTGAAGGCTTGTTCCTCTTTGCCTCCACGAGAAGCTGAACAATCGCAGCTTCCACAGACTTGATATCAATTAAGCACAAGAACGATGATATCAGTGACAAGGCACTTACACGCGTAGAATCGCTTAGTAACGAACCCAGGTCTAAGCTCTGCACATGAAAACCTTCCAGATGGTGCAGCGCAGCTGGTCCAAGATAAGACTGGCCCATGCCAGGTGCTCCATGGACCAGAAGACGTGGTCTATACACCCTAAGACTCTCCATAGCTGGTCGCCATCGCGGTTAGCTCATACGATATAACTCCACTTCGTTAAACCCACCTTGAAGTCGAAGCTCGCGTGTCAACCCACCATCATCGTCATCATCTTCCCATTCAGCCTCTTCCAACGCATTGCGAGCCTTGATGGATGGCATCGTTCGTGAGAGAAATTCTTTTATACGAGAAAGGGTTCCATCTAGAAGAGCAATAAGCTGTTTCGGGAGGGGTGCTGCTGCAGACGCCGTGGACCTTTTAGACGAGGGTATGAGCTCTGGAAAATACAGGAATTGAGCACCAATCCAGGTTTCCACCAAGTGAGTCTTACTTTTCACAGACATCATAAAGTCCTTTGGGAGCACACGAATATTGTCTGGGTTTACCAGCAGACGATCTCTGGATTTGTATATCTGCGGGTAAGTTCGTTGCACAGCATTCAAGGTCGCTTCTGTCGCCAAAGCCTGCCAAATGGGAGTCAGGCTGGTCATAAATGAACTCGAAAAGCACACACTCGAAGATCAGCACCACCATAACCTTTCGTTGCCTCAGCCATTACTTGAAGCATTCTCTCCCCTTCCACGCTGTCCCTTTCCCACCCTTTCCATCCCGAAGTGAGAATTCGAAGAATCTGCTTCCGCGCCCGAAGGTCTGGCAAGGGGAAATAGAATTCACGGTCAAAACGACCCGGTCTTCGTAGAGCAGGATCTACAGCGTCCGGTCGGTTGGTGGCCCCTATAACAATAACTTGACCTGGTTGCAATAAAGATGAGAATTCAGGGCACTAGGTGTTGCATTGTAAAGCAATATCACCTCGTCCGTCCATACCATCCATGAGAGCCAGGAGTGTCGAAACGATACTAGCATGAATTTGGTCTTGCTTACTGCTCCGAACGGGTGCTAGACCTTCAATAAGAGGGTCAATAGGCGCTAGTGAGGCTCTCCTGCCGATGATTCTTACCATCGATCTCGTCAAAGAAGATTATGCTTGGCTGACAATTTCTTGCTTCATCAAAAAGCAGCCTTAGTTGCCGCTCAGCCTCTCCGACCCATTTTGACAAAATATCGGCGCCCTTTCTCATAAAGAAAGCTCGATTGGGGATGAGTATGAGGCTATTCGTATGCGGTGAAGAGCTGACCAACCTATATCTCTACCTCCACTTCTCGAACTAGCTGCCAGCGCCCTGGCCAGAAGCGTCTTTCCCGTACCCGGTGGACCATGAAATAAGACGCCTCGCGGGGGGGTAATTTTGAACTGTTGAAAAATCTCGGGGTAGAGTAGGGGAAGAGAAACCATTTCTTTGAGTGAGGCTATGTGGTCATCGAGGCCGCCGACCTGGTCAAATGTGACATTAACGTTCGGCCCAAGTGGATCCGTGTCGGCGAGCGCTGCCAGGTCCCAAACATTCAAAAGAGCCTCAGCGAACAACGAGCGATAACGTACCACTGTCTTTACTAATCTTTCCAAAGTTTGCGGGGCCACCCGCCGCAGCTGCTATGTCGGTCCCGCTTTTGAGACTCCCCGTACCTATCAGCCCTCCTGCACTACTACCTGCACCTCCCGCAAGGTTAGCTTTCATCGCTTGCGCATTAGGATCATCAGAATCGGAATCATCCACGAGTGGCGGGGGGGCCGGCAAGGTTGAGGGTGTCCCAAGTATTCCTTGGCTGCCTGTCCTAGTAAACCCAACGCGAGACTTGCTCTTGACGTTGCTGCGGACATTCTTAACTTCGGCCTGGAGGCTCGCAAGCTGGTCATTGTCCAGGAGGGGTGGGATCTGATAGTTAACGGTTTTTCTTTGTGGTCGGAGGGTATATCCACGGGGGGAGCTTAGAATGGAGATTCTTCGTGATCGAGTGGTCTGCTGAGGAGGTGGTGTGGGTGAAAGCGAGGTGATTGGTGCATCATCTACATGACTCAGGTCGAAATCGGAATCGGAAGCTTCACCCTTTGGGCTCAACTGGAATTCTGCTTCGCCATCGTCATTCTTGATGGACTTTCCTCGATTACGGGCTCCCCGGGAAGGTCGTTTGGGCTGAGGGGCTGCAGTACGAGACGGAGCCGCAGATTGGACTCTTCGCGAAGACCGACGAACACCATATTCTGCATCGGACAGCACATCCCCATCATCATCCTCATCCCTCTCAATGAAGTCGTCCCCCCTTGACGCGTATCTCTGCGACCGGCGAGTTCGCGTCTGTGATCGCGCTAGTGACTTCCGGGAAAGATCATCCTCGTCCTCATCATCACTAAGATCTTGATACTTTGCTATAATCGGTCTCCCAGAGCGAGAATAGCGTGGCTCGATGGTTGGCTGAGATTGAGAATCCTCGTCGCTTGCCGGGACGCGGTTCCTATTCCGACTGCGAAGCTCCCGTACAGGACGCTGACTGTATGGGTCATTTGGTTTAAGAGCTGACGTCGCCGAACGAGTTCTTCGGGTAGCGGGTTCCGACATCTCAGAGAATAGGTCAAAGTCGGCAGGTTGAAGTTGATGCCGTCCGTGTTCGGGGGATTGGTGAGGTTTGACTATTTTAATCTTGATCCCAGAAGGCTTCCTGTCTTTAGAGGAGTGCTCGGAATTATATTCGTCCTCGCCGTCGCCGTCCTCGTCGGCGTACTCAGAGCCAGACTTCACAAAAAAACCTATGCCTCTTGTTTGTTGATGCTGAATTTGGTAGTATAAGTGATCCTCTGGAATTTCCGCGTCTGCTGGATAACTTCCGTCCATAAGAGATGGTGGAGAGCTAACTTGGACCCTGTTCGTTAATGCAGTCTGATGAGACACATGAAGTCATCCTGGCCTACCGACGAGTTCCCGCCCTTTGTTTGGGTTACGCGTTGTAATCAATAGTGCGGGATGTAGATAAGCCTTGGCAATGTCCCATTCATATGCCTCGACGGGCTAGGTATAGTCAAAAGAACCTGCTCCGGTCACGACGACACGTTACGGATGAACCCAATAGAATCGGTCCTCGGAATGTCAGACCCAGCTACGGCGGCAATAGCCGGCCATGATCACCTGATGATGCCCCAAACGCCCAGCGCCCGATTTCTGCTTGTCCTTACGCAACCCTCTATAGCCCATGGGCATGCCTGAGGTTGTTCTGCGGCACAATTCTTTTCTGGTGCGTAGATTTAGTTCCGCATCTCTGTCTAAGGGCGCAAGGCGGCCAAGTGTGATAGACCTTGGAAGGCAAAAAGGAGATTCATACTGCGCATCCCATCCAGGAAAGCGGTTCTACATCGGTTTTCCCAAATGTCCCACTGTTTTTATTGTGCCCTCATTTCTTTCCCCTAAAACACGGATTACGCTGTATCTATTGCTTGGTCCCACCCTCAACGCACATCCCTTTGGCTCGGATGCTTCTCCATGCTGACGCTCAGGTACAGAATCCGACTGTGAACACATCATGGGCTATTTGGGACCTTCCCAGATGCACGCAACGCATGCCCGAATGCTGTAATGAGGCTCCTCGAGGACGTTGATTATCAGGCTTCTATATTCACGATCAAGTCTAACTCGCACCCAGCAACCCAACGAAGCGACACAACTCCCTATGGAAGCTGATTGCCTACGGAGCAGTTCAAAGTAAAAAAAAAACTTTGGACTTGACCAGAGGTCGATACGAGTGGCCCACTCATTCGAACTTGAGAGGATGTCCACGGCGTCAACTCCCGGGGCCAGGGTTATATGTGGTCTACATGTGTGTTTTGGAAGCATTTGTCTAGCAGTTTTTGCCCCCTGATCATCTAAGATATATCATTCCTTGCATATTCGATTACAGTCGCCCTTTACGCCATTATCAGGTTAATCTGCGAAGATGTACCTTGCCCATAGGGAAACTGAATACGAAATGGGATCCTTAGTGCTGTACGCAAGTGATATCCAACTGCATACAATGCAAACCCCAAACGTGTCACTTCTAGAGCCAGCTGTTGCAAGACATGAGAAACTAATGCATCATAAAGACGACAAGGACAACACTTTCAGGTGCTGTGGAGAACGGGTGGTCAATTTAATGTGACCCCGGCAGCCAATTGAGTCTGATAGGACGAGTGTAACCAAAGACACATACATACTAGTGTTTATGTCATGATAATGCGATTGGATACACATAGGGGCTTCGCGGTCTACTTCAGCTAGGGTTCGTCTCAGGTAGGGGTAACTGAATGGCCAGAATACCCGGCGAATAGTTCAACATGTCCCCGCTTCGTTTCGACCTCGGAGTCGTTCCCACAAGACCATCCCCATCACTAGCGGGCTAAACAAATCCACATATGGGCTGATTCCTATACCCACCTCATCAGCGGCGTTTGCCACCGCTGTACTCCACTGACTAGCCCTATCTAGATAATTCAAGCATTTCCTAAATCTGGCACCGTATTCCAAAGTTTCTCCTTCTTGAGGTTTCGTGGCTGGGTGGCCATAGTCAAATGAACGAGTGACATCGTAGGTGGACCCGCATATTCGATTGGCTAGCGCAAAATAGGAACGCGAAATCGGTAGTGAGGAGATGTTGGTATTGTTGGGGGAATCAGTGATGTGCTTATGTAGGGTCGTATTTAGCACAACGACGCTCTTAAACACGTTCGGCATCCCTTGAGCGAAAAAAGGATTCGTGCCTAAGGGAAAGCTCACCGTCAATACACAGTTATGTGGCCATTATGGAAGTGGGTATCGTACACATGGCGGAATCTCCGATGGCTACGAAATTGTTGGGGGTAGGTGCCGATAAATAGTCAAGGTAATACGAGGGACGCTTTAAAAAAAAGAAACTAAGGATATTGCCAAAACATTGGACCACCCGAATACACACCATTTTAGAAGAAAGGATTTGAATCTTGTCATCCACTTGACTTTCTCGGAGAAGGTCAAATAGGGCATAAACCCAAAGAGAAATCTCCTTCAGCGACGGATTGAGCTTGAATAATTTCTCATGCGTGTCACGAACAGCTAGGTCGAGCTGAGCAAGATTGCTGGGTGGCTTCACGTCGCCTAAAGCGACGTAACTGATAAGCACTAAAAATAGGAAAGTATGTTTATGTCAAGTACGAATATAGAAATACAGACACACATTCATTATCCAGAACCTTCTGGATGAAGATCCCTTCCTTTGGACCTCCGCTGCCGGCTTTATCAATACGAGGGGCTTGGGCGTATAACGTTCTCAGTCCGGCCCAATTTCCACAGTTGGGGTCATTCCGCGGTACTAGGCCAGCAATTCGGTGCTTCAACTTCTCGTCCTTCACGGGAACATAAAAGCACCTGTACATGGCGTCCGGAGCATAGGAACGGCGAGTATATGGGCCCCAGCGTTGCGCCACTGCAGCCTCTGTGGAACCAGCCTCTAAGCGATTGCTATTCGCCCGGGGAAGCAATTTGAATGCTATTGCACTTCCTCCACTGCAATCCGCAAAAAACACGCAGGGTATTGTGACAGTTTCAGCTGATCCCATCGAAGGCCTGTAGGACACGGCAGAGATAGCAGCCGAAGATGGCGTGGAAGCATGCAAACTGGTAACGGTTCCTTGTATAGCCTCCAAAGAATCCCCTGCGTAAGAGGCAGCAAGTTCGCGCAGGACCCTTTCCAGTCTAACATGGACGAAGATTATTAACTTCGGGAGACCCAAGATAATCAACTTGATCACTCACATGACCCTCTGATACTCAAACCCAGGGAGTGCTGCCGTGGGCCTGCGGTTCCAGGACGTACCCAATATCCCCCTTCGGAAGAAAGGGTGAACCTTACAGCCCATCTTTGCGGCCACCTCATCAAAATTTGAATAGAGTGCTCGACAGATGATAATCATCAGTGGCAACACGACATGGCAGTGACCACGCTGAGCAACACGCGTTGCGGTTCTCTCGATTCGGTAATCCGGCTCAATGATAACAATGCGTGCAAAGTAATCGGACAGAACACGAGCAGTTGCATATCCTGCAATGCTGGGGAATGATAAAGACACGACAAGGGACTGTAGCGAGGTAGGAACTTCTCTCAAAGTGGGACTTACCTTCCTCCAGCCACCACTGCTGTTCCCTGAAGCTTTTCCCATCGCGTTTGGGACGGAGAAGCCTGAGCTGAGGGATAACCATCGTCGTGTTGATGATGTAATTACGAAGCGCCGTCCATACAAGCACGGATACGATACAGAGAGAAAAAGCAAATAATAACATGCCTGTTCCACGCATGATGTGTGTCCGGCTCATGAGAAGATGGATCAAACTCGAATTTCTTCTAGTGAACTAGGGGTTCGCCGGAGGCGGTCTGTTTATGGTTATCCCCAGGAGACCGTACCAAAGATGTTCCAGGCGTTGCGCTATATGTTCCCCAGGTAATGAGGGGATACTCGAGTACCCGATGACCCACGTTTTATATCCAGGGTATCGTGCTATGCGTTTCCTTGGTTTCCTACTTTAGACAACCCATTCCATTCAGCATGATAGGAACACATATCATTTGCTTCTGCATCAGTGAAAGAAGCACGTGGAGACGAGTGTTTATGAGATCATGATATCAGAGTTGATTATGAGAGACGGGCAGTTGGATGTAGGAACTACCATTTCTCCCGTGAAAAATTAATGGAAGGGCACGGCATGGCATACCAAGGACCAGTTGATGGCAAGGCGACACGATACCGTCTAATGGGTTAGTCCATCGGGGGAAGTGACTTCAGGATGAAGGTGAGCAAAGCAGTGAAAAGGTTCGTTTTAGAGTTTGACCGCATGAACATTACAGCATCACTCATTCCCATATTCGACGGGCCTTTCAACTGGAGCGAAAAAAAAAAACCGAATCAGTCTTCTTTATCGACTTGTCAGAGGGCCTAACTGAGCAGGAGACTGAGCGCGGAAATCCGTCGCGGCGGAACTTTCCGGCAAATCGTCGATCATCTCTTCTTTTGTACGTGTGCCATGGTTCGATTTAAAGAATGGGTATTGCACTTCGCACGGACATTTACTCCCATTGACGAGTTCGCGCTGGCACAATTTCAAGTGTACTTCATGATCTTAGCCCTACTGTGTGTCTTCGTTCTTACCAACAGATTCCCGATGGAGGCTAAAATTAGGGTGCCGCGGTTCAACCGAACCGTGAACCAGAGTTCGGAACTTGGTTCTCTCAGTTGGGTATTGCGAACGGGTTTGAACCGAACCACCGAACCACGGTTCGGAACTGGTCCTCTAAGTTGGGGTTATTGCAAACGGGTTCGAACCGAACCGAACCGCAGAACCATCGAAGGATTAATTGCACCATGATCTTGCGTACACATTCATAAAGTGTTTTGTTCGCGGCTTCAGGGATCAGGGTAATCCTGGCAGCAAAGCCTACCAATGGGGACCTGAAAGCGGGTTCCATACGAACCAAAAATTACATCACTCGATTGGGACGGAACCGAAATGCGGTTTTCTGGTTCTCAAAAAATAGTCCCAGAGCCGAACCGAACCGGGGCCCTAGGCAGGATCCCAGCCTCTACTAAAGTAGACCGGACCCCCTAGCTAAAATAGATAACTGGGGAACGCCACCTGAAGCGGCAGATCTCGCTACTTTTACCTCGCATGCATGTTCACTCTCAACGTTACTATTGGCCGAGATGAAGCCCGAGATTCACTCTCGCTCTGTAAACCACCGCATACTCTGATAAGTTCAGGACTACGTAATTTACACTGCAGCTATGCAGCAAGCGGAATAGAACTGTATGGTCCATGATGTCATAAATCTCGTACGCCACGGATTTACGTTATGCAATGGCTCGTAAGACGGGTCCGATCAATAAAGCGGCGTAGCCCAAGATCGACATTGATACGAATGGAAGATTCGTGTCTATCCTCAACGAAGAAGAGCATGTATTGGAAGCCACGCTGTATGCAACAAAGAACGGTTATACGCATCCTCATTAATGCATCGGGTCTTCGTTCAAAGTCCGGGATATTCTTGGTGCTCAGATACGAATTGAGCGCATCGACCAGTTTTGCAGTAGTCTCCAATGACCAATCCCCCGCCACATAATTGTCAAAGCACTTCCCCCAGTGCGTCTCGTGCGGTACGCTTGCACGGAGATTGGAACAACCTCGATATGCATTGAAATGCATCATTCCCAAGCCGACTACTCATATTTTGACAATCTGGAATAAGCCAAACCAGTGAATGGGGATAAGATACTGACGCTCCACAGTGGAAGAACTGCCCGTGCGACGCGTGGCTAAGTATGTGAGCCGTTCCATCAGGTAGGTCACATTTAGAAGTAAAGCATCTGCGGCAAAACGAGTGTTCAATCACGGCTTGGGCGAGATCGGGCACTTTCATGATCTCCATGGGTGTGGTATCGGGGCCACCCAAAGTTGAAAACTGTTGGGAGAAGGTCTGCATCGTAATCTACTGAAAAGTGTTCGATAAGGGGAGATTTTGAGAACGTCAAGAGCAGTTCAGAATCTTGTCCTCGGCAATCTCCGGTATATTACATAAGCGACGAATGAGTAATCCGGTTAGACGCTCATAACCTGTTGTAAACGACTAGTGTTTTTGGGTCACGTCAACGTCCATACAAAGGAACAAACTAAGACGAAAAACTAGGCAAGGCAACTCCTGCGCACTTGGTAAAATCCTCCACATACATTCCGAGGTGCAGTCCCGACTCCCTTGTGAGGCTGATTTACAAGAACGACGAAGGTCTGAAACTCTAAACATTGACTTATGTAATACCAAATAGATTGAGACCTGCACGTCCGAAGCCATGTAGCTGAAGAAGATGGAGGCGTTTGGTTAAATGTGCCACCTAGGCACCACAGTATAGGCGTCCTCGCTCGGCCACCATGCATGCTAGCTTGAGCGGGAATGTACCAATGGGCCATAATTTGGTCGAGAATTACTTTATTAACCCTGCCCACATTCTTCGTTGTAATTATTACACCGATGTACCACGCGGAAAGGGACCAGCAAGCAACATCTTTGGAGACACCACATCTCTCGGCGCTCTACCTCTCGCGTTCATCGTCCCCGTTGGAGATAGAATCTCATCCCAGCCAGTTCCAGATTCATGTGTACCGGCATTCACTCCATTCGCACCATGAATGTTCTTTTTTGCTTGCCCGACCTCCAACGATCCCAATCCTTTCTCCAAGTCATCTTCTGGTCTATTCCTTAGGACCCTAATCCTGGGGCTCCATGCTCTTCGATCCCTCCCTTCGATCACTGCTCGGGAAGCTTCGCTTGCTTCTGTTGAGTCAGTGTAGCTTTTGAACGTCCGAATGGCCGTCGCGAAGTAGACTAAACCGAGGACGAATGTGAAAGTGACAAAGATGCGAGGACCGATCGCAGCAGTGGATGATATGGACGATGGAGGGTTGACAGTGCCTGAGGTCCACACGAATGCGAGAATGGAGATGATGAAGCTAACGAGAGACCAGCAAAGAAACACCGCTGGCATGGAGAGAAAGACCCAGACGTTCCAAATGATGGAAGCTGTTGTGCCTTCAGCTGCTTCCGCCCATTGGCTAGCGTTCCTCATAGAACGCATCGTCTGAAAACTAAGAGTCGAGGTGGGTTTTGAGACAGTTGCATGATTCCTCGAAGACGAGCAGCGCACCGAAGAATGAATATACATCCCAACATCAGGCTCCACATAGCGCTGATCAAGGAAACAAGTGCAGCCGTTCGTGTGATTGGTTCATCTGATGCATCAGTCTGAAATATTGTCAAAATTGCTCTATCCCATGTCATCGAATGAGGCGTATCCGGAGAACTGGGGTAAAGACTTACGAAAGCAGAAGAGCTGAAACTACGTTCAAAGTTTTATCCTCTTTCAATATAGAATCTACAAAGTCTTCCCAAGCTTCTTTAAAGCCTAGTATCCAGAGTCTCAAATGTTAAGGAATGCATACAGAAGGATAACTGATCACTCACGAATCAAGGCTGGTGGAACGTTGTTGGGATGCCAATTTCTTTCTTTAAGGAACGAAGACCCCCCCAACTCAACCATCCTCTTTAGCTCTGGCTTGCTTATCTCAGCGTATTCAAATACTCGGCGAACTCTTCCAAAGTAAACGGATGGTAGACGGAACAGCAGCAGCAGATAGAGTTGGCGGAAAAAACGATCAATATAGAAGGTGATTCTTTTTGTCAAACCATGGTGCTCGCAATCACGGTCGAACTGATAGGGGTCTACAGGTACGAACGCATCATCATGAGAGTGGGAACGGGAGATAGGCCAGAAGCGGCGGGGAGATACGCTGCGGGTAGGAGAACGTTCTTGATTCTGCCTTTGCGTGTTCACTGGGATGCTTGACGCAGGAGCTATAAAGAGGGGGCGAGGAAGTGAGCGTGAGCGTCGAGCGCGTTCGGGGGCTTAGAATCCATAACGCACTTGCAGTTGTCTGCGCAACTTCCGCGGGGCGAGTTGACTCGAAAGAAACTCGCTTAGGAGTGTTTGTTGGGGAAGAAGTTTTCTGCATTGGAGTTTCTGACATCGCTGACTGGACCCTTTTATGTGTGGGACCACTTCCAGCAGTTAGGAGTCCAAGCGCGTTTGGTCGTTGGATCGGTGAATTAGGGGGTGATTTGTCGTATACGTTAGTGGGCCCAGCAGTGAGATTGTTTTCGTTGTCTGCTGGTGACCCTGAGCCGTCTGTTCCCGAGAGGAGAATACGCGCAATTGATGTGAGTCGTTCGCGAGTGCGAAGCGTGCGTGAGCTGTCTATAGCATGAAATTATGAGCGCAACCATACATGAAATGTGAAATCACTAAAATGGTATTGAACCTGTGTCTGGCTGGTTCTCCGCAGAATCCTCAGAAATGGTAGGGAAGCTAGCTACACGCCGAGGCAGTCTAGGGGCGCCATGCTTGGGAGAACGCTGAGGGGATGACATAGCAATGGTACAAGATTTGAGCGCTGACGTTAAATCGTGCCCCAAACGCGCAGGGGCCAAAGGGGCAACCCCTAATGCTCCGGAGCAGTGGGACACCAGAGCCCAACCTCCTTGGCGGAACCAGATATTGTCAATATAAATTTGGGATGTCGAGGGCTCGATGCAAATATACAACAATAGAGGAAGTCTAAATTTTGCCTATCGCGGCAAGTATCTCACGTTGAGCGCTTTTGAAGTAAACTACGGCAAAGAACACAAATGGAGGAGTTATTGCATGATTTCAGAATCGGTCTCCAATGTCCGAATTTGATTATCGTATAACTGGTGGACGCCGCCTGTCGCGGCAAGTGCCCGCTTCTCTACCCACACTTGGCATCAAATATGAAGGGCAGAGGTGGAAATGGATGGGGAGCTGCGGAATGGTAAACATTGCAGTGTCATCTGTATTGAGAGAGACGGGTTGTGGGGACACAGCGGACGAACGGCGAGCTTCGCCGCAAATGGCACAAACGAAGGAGATCAAACGATTTGATGACAGCAGCAAATAGTAATTCTTCAGATTTGAACGACAACTGCTCTGGTCAACGAGAAGCATAGCTCTTTTTCAAGTAATAATAATTACCTGCATTGCCAGTATTAGAACGTTCACATTCCGTGGCGCGGAGAGGTAATACGGAGTGTATTGTAGCAGGTTGCAAACGTGAATGATCAGTGAGGTTGTACAGAGACAATAACTGACGTAAAATCCGTTCTCGAAAATGCGCATAACGAAACGAATGAAATATGCTCGATTGAGAGGTTGTTGCGCAGTGGGAGCGGTAGAGGTAATACAGCGGGAAAGCGCTGCAGTGGCGCTTCGAGTGGTCAGTGTTAATTAAATCACAGGGGCCATCAACGGCGATAATGGGCGAAGAGGTTATGACGTAGTTGGGATCGATTAAGCATCGCATGAGTAAGTAGGTGGTGAAAACGACAAAGAGCAATCGAATTTACACAATTTGTCGAGACCACGTAGCACAGCAAGGGTGTTGAGACTGAAGTTGTACAAAGTGCCATAGAATGTCCACGAGTGCATCATCTGTTAAGCATGAGCATTCGTCTGAGAAAGAGAGGTGCTGGTTGATTTCTTGTCTGCAGACGAGTATGAGGGAGCAAAAGAAGAGAAAAACAGAGAGAACATATCAGCTCTGCACGTAGTACTCCGACAGTCTGCACCCACAACACGACGCACCAGACATAGTCGTGTATTGTTGATCGTTAAAGTTTAGACAGGAACACCGGCCATAGAGAAGGGTCAGATGTGGGATTTGACGCTGCGGGTGGGCGTCAAAAAAGAGAAAGGTTGATGCGCTGGGAAGAAGCGGTTGGGGTCAACTGATGGGAGACATGCTTGTTGACATCGGGTTAGTGACGCAGAGGCGTAAGCGGGGAAGGGAAGGGACAATATCAATGCTCAAGGCACGTTTATGTATGTTACAGCCGAAAGCGGATAAAGGGATAAAGGACCCTGTCCATCGGAAGTATTCATTTGGAATTTTCAAATCATTTGAATAAGTTCCTGAGTTGGGGACACATGTCTCCACCCCTTCTGTCGCTGGGCGCTTAGCCCTTTCAAACATCAAGGGCATTCCATTTTTCAGAGCCTCATCAGGTTTGTGTCTTGAGCTCATGACCTCCATTGTGCACGGAGAACCAACCGAATTAGGCGTCGACGCGACTCGCTTCCCTGTTCATGGGTCTGGTCTAATAATATCCACTCTGGAACGTCCCACTTCTCCCTGCGGTGAGACACAAGCTGATCCAGTGCCCATCGTGAGGACACAACCTGCGTCGCCGCGCATCGATTCTTCCGGAGCGGTTTTCCACGAAGATGATGAAGCACTGCTTTCCACCTCATTACCGTCCTCTGCGCATCCGTCTTGGTATGACTCATGTAATGGGGGTACGTCGATGTGTCATGGTATCTCACTTTCCCTCCGAGTAACATCGAACCATCAGGGTTGCACAAGTTCCTTCAGGCTACCAAATCGTCACCCTCTGGGAAATCAACCTCTTCCAGTAAAGTGTATTATGGTCATGCAGCCGGGAGATTACATTCATCCCCCACCACTCCTTCTACGGCCAGCCTATCTTCAGGAATGGTCCTTGATATGGTGCCTCCGAACTTACCCAAGTTCCATACTACAGCAGAGGACCTCACCGAGAGAATCCAACCACGCCAAGCCATTGCTCTGGGTGGCTACTCCCATGTGTGGAGGGGTTTGTGGAGAAAATCTGAGGGCGAACTGGTCGACGTGGCCATTAAACGTTTGCATGCAATGGATGCCACCTGGACACCCGAAGAGCAGCAGAGGAAAGCGTTAAAGGCAAGTGTTTCGTTCAGTCGCCTGCGTTGCACTTATTTACGTCTCGGTTTGAGTAGCATTTGCTCCGCGAAATGAAGGTTTGGAGGTTCCTCGAGCATCCCAATGTGGCTCCATTTTATGGTTATATGTGGGAAGAGATAATAGTTGGCACCTTCACTGCCAGCATTGTCACCCTGTACTACAAAAATGGGCACGTGTACAACTACCTCAGGAACCAACGCCATGCGGATCGTATGCTACTGGTGAGCACTTCGAGGAAAATGTCGGAGCTCAATACTTATTTGGTGTGATCACAGTGTCATGGTGTCGCCAACGGTATCGCATACCTACATTCTCGACCTCATCCGGTAGTGCATGGGGACCTCAAAGCTGTAAATTACCGCTTATGCCACAAGTTGCTTTTGCTGATTCAATCTTCAGTATAACATTCTGGTGGATGATATTGGACATGCCATTATTTGCGACTTTGGCTTGTCACAGATGCTCGACAACTCTGCCAGCGGCTTCACGTCGTCTGTACTCGGAGGAACAACGAGGTATCTTGCGCCAGAACTCACACATGGCGAGGCTCGGACCGCTGCAAGTGATATGTACTCATTTGCCTGTGTTTGCATGGAGGTTCGTTATAATATCACTGCTCGATTTCTACTACTAATTCGCCGCTCAGATTTTGCACGAAGAGATACCATACAATGACATCAAGTACGACACTCCAGTGAACAGGGCGATCGACGAAGGCACTCTCCCCTATGATTTACTCCCGCTTGTGTATTCCGCCAATCCTGACTCAAACATGCCATCGTATCGAGAGCCAAAATCACCACTCCCAGCCAGCCTGATCGAGCTTTTTCACGCCTGCTGGGAAAGGGATCCTTATGACCGTCCGGGTATCGAATATGCGATCAACCGTCTACCCCCTGTTGCAGCCAAAGCAGACGATGCGGAACGGACTCATGGAGGTCTCGACGCTGACGGGAGCGACTTTGAGCATGCCCTCGCCCGGGCCACAACTCCAATCACAGGTGACGCATCCGTCTCAGATTGGCCTAGTTTGGAGGCGACACCCCGAGAGCATGGGCGAACGCTTCTGTTGGAATTGAATGAGCCTGAAAGAATAAGCAAGCCCATAACCAGGACAAATGAGTCGCCAGCACCAGGTCCTTCAAACCCAGGACCCGTGTACCTGGATGGTTCTGCCGCCCATGTATGTCCCCGGAGATAACACAATCCCCAGCAATTATTGACGGTGTCTCATGCAGCGTCCCTTGAACACATCCAAAATATCTGGGTTCTTCAAATCTGTCAAAGACAGGATCATCAAATGAGATTGTCATGGTCTACGACGCACAACTTGCGTGACGCCACCAGCCTGACCATTGTTTGTAAACGGGCCCTATTTGTGTGGAATAGCGCAATGTTGTTTTCTCCTACTTGTTGTGCCCACAATTAACAACGAATGGACGAGACAGCAATGCCGTCATTTTCCATTACATGTTGGAGCAGCCCCGTTCGTCACCTAAGTTTACTCAGGGGAGAATCAAGATTTATCATCTGAACAAACATGACCATTCCGAAAATTGGTTTGTGGGAAGTCGTGTATTGATATCCGGAGTGTTTGAGCTCCCCCCACCATGGTAGAAGCACTGTGTTCTTCACCGAGTGACAATCACAACGTTGACCAATCGAGGTCACTAGGCAAGCCGCACGCTACACGAATAATTACATTAGCGCACCGCTTCATTTGATTTATGATCGTTGTATACTAGAACCGCGCAAGCTTGATCAGAGTGTTAAACAATCAAGTAAGGAAAATCGACATTGTTTCAGCCGAAAACAGGGAAAGCGGTCGTGGAGCAGGTCCATCTCAAAATGGACACACGGTGGCAGGAGGCGGGTAGTTGTGCGTCACATAGTTATTGTCAGAGTTGGTGGCAACCCACGTCTGGTGGCGAAACTGATTACGCAATCGCCAATCAAACCCATGTCACTGACTGAGAGCGGCGAACACCACATTATCTCACTCCACTACTGGCACCCTGTTGGATCAGGGTTGTCTCGCGCTTTAGTATTTCTTTTCAGCTTGGATTTCAAGTGTTCGTTATGGATGGTAATTTCGCCGAAATTAAAGTTTGAATTCCTCGATGGCTCCAGCTTTTTCTATTCCTTCGCTGTTCTAGTTCGCTTCTCAATTCCCTTCACCCATATTATTCATCCGAGCATCAAACTAAATTCGGACTGAATGGCGTCCGAAACTGTTTGAAGAATCATTCTCGCATGCAACGCATCTAAAAATCCAGTTTCGCCATGGACAGTGGCACCCACCTTCGGCTCGGAGCGACTAATCCTTCCGGACAAGCTTCTAGTTCTCAGGACGCTAGCTATGAAGGGTTATGACTGGGGTATAACATGGCAGCATGTTTATTGGAATTGAATGGTAGATTGCACACATATCCAGCGCATCCAATTATGATGAGCGGGCTCTCGCGTTATCATTTAATTGGGGGAAAACATCAGCGATGTACAGATAGAATCACGGTTGAAATGCGTTCCCATTTGCGATTCACCACTCACCACGTACCTATACGGCCTAACGATTGCGCTCAACTTCGGTCGGAAGCACTTAAAAAATGCCCCTTTCGATGACGTTCCCCAGATGCGGTTTTGGTGGCATCCTCTCGACGCACATCACCTACCCATCACGTTGGCTAGCCATTCATACCGTGGCTCAACACAATTGCAAAGACGAAAGGCATACATATTCAGGTTTCGTCGCTATACTCCCATCCTTCGTCCCGCTTCCGTTCTTAGGTTGTACTATGCTGTCCACCTACATCTTATGGTCACACGTCCCCACATTGCGAGGGATCAGTCATATCAAGAAGCAAATTTGAAAGGAGGAAGAGATGTGCAATCGCAAGTAAACCGATGTAAATCCATGAATTACTGTTGTCACCTTCAGCGACTCGGATGTATGTGCATCCCATAAGCTGAGCACAATCCCCACAACACTTCAATCTTTATTCGAGAGGCTGTACGGTCTCACCCTTCACCCACAGTGTTGGCGCTACATCTTCCTGTACTCCGCACGACACCAGAGACCCATCGCCACCAACAACATCAGCAAACTAATGTTACATATATACGCTTCGGGGACTCCACAATTCTAAAAAGCGTTGCAGCGCAAAAGTCATCAAGCTCATAACCAAGAGAGTGACAAGCAATAAAGAGTGTGCTGGTAAATGCTAAACAACTTGGCTAATGTCCACAACAATTGGGGCCCGCAAATCTCCCTGGACCAGAAATCGAGTCCCATCCCTGCTTGATTGAGGGCGGACAAGTGCCAGGGGGTCATGTGGCACTCGGTGACCGTACCAGGCTTCCTGCAAATCAGTCGGTTGACACTCCGTTGGGAGCATAAGTTCAACTCTGCCATTAAGCCACAAAGATAAATGGGGGAATGATACACTGATTAGTGGGGTTCTCGTTGCGGCTGGAAAACGGTAAAGCTGAACCCTTTTTTCTGAGTCACTTGGCGAGAGGTCGTAAAATGGGCGCTTAATCCAGGACTCATCAGAGTCATGCCCCGCATCCGTGTTGGAATGGTGCGCACAAGCTGTGTCGCCTTCTACCAGGGGGAGGGTGGCTCGGGTGGGTGTAGGATCGGGAGGATTAATAATCCAATATTCGAGGTTTGTCACCCGATAACCCGCAATGCACTGGTATGATTCCGTTGACCAGGTAGCAGCGTGGGTCCCATCAAAAGCACCAACATAACGTGCTCCTGGAGAGAAACCAAGCGTCCGACGGTGAGGAATCATAATATCGAATCGAGAAAGGAAGGAGAAAGGAGAGGCCAGAGGTTGAATGGATGGGACCTCCGAAACAGATATGAGCGTCATGTTGTCGTACCAAGGGTTGTCGAGATTCCGTGGGACTCGCATGACAAATAATCCGTTATCTGAGACTGTGGTTCCAGCTGGATAGGAACCGGCGAGAAGAGTGCCAAGATTCACAGGGGGCACACCATCGCTGAGGATTGTTACATTCCCATCCTTATCCTCAGTGGCGAGTCGGTGGCTGCCGTGGACAAATTCGATCCAGACCGGGAGATTGGCTGGACTGCGCTGCAATCGGCAGATTGTGCGCTGGTGGTTGATATCGGCCACTTCGATAATTCCGCTGCCAAATCCAAGAGCAACATAGCAACCATCGAGGGAGAGTGCAGCACATGTCACGATCCCATTGCGAACATCGGGTTCATGGAGTTCATCTTCATAATTGATTACCTCACCTCCCCGTTCATTGAACACCTCTGGTAGTTCACTCAACTTTGCCTGCATGACCTCTTGGGCGCTGAGTAAATCCTCGTATAATGGAATTGTGCCACCAGAGAACTCGCCAAAAGCAGAGAAAATCCGGACAGGATCAGCAAGATGGCCATATTGTTTGTAAAGGGACGATGACGGCGAGGCGAAAGGCAGCTTCGATCGATAGAGATGCCATGGTTCATGTGTCGCAGTGTAAGCTACCTCCTCTAAACCTCTCAGGAGTTGAATTGAATGGTGATTCTATCAAGAATAACGTCAGAAAAACGCCGGATGAATAATTTATACTTACATTGAATTGAAGTAATTTGTCAGGAAATGAAGTGCCTCCAAACCATTGCAAGTGCATGAAAGTCAACAGGTGGTTTTGCGTGATGAAGGAATTAAACTCGTTCTGTAATTTGTTGGACTCTTGTGAAAAAAGTTGTGAAGGGTCCAAGTGCTCGAGCAAGTATTCAATAACATAGTGGAAGTGCCTGTGGTAATCGTCCTTTTTCACCATAAATTCCTTCCATATTCTTTCATCTCCTAAAGGGGGATTCGTAGGCATTCCGAATGTATCTTGCTCACAATAATTGTTGAAGAGTCGAAGGAGTGGCAACCCAAGGAAATACCCATTCACATCATCGATGAAGAATACTTTGTCCTTCTCGTCGCCAATTGGTTCCCCTGTGAGGAATTCTTTTACTGTTGCGTGATATAAGGCGACATCCTCTGCATCCCCTAAGGGGAGATTGACGATGGAGCTGATTGGTTCCAATGTCGCGCGAATCTCGTCTTCCCCAATCTCGAAAAGCTGTGACATAAAAGAGACGTTCATCGGATTGTGTGCCACAACAATCGCACCAACCACTAAGCGATACATCTTGGCTACATCTGGGTGAATACCAGATGAATCCATCATGTAGGCTTGTCGAAGAATTCGTAAGTACTCCCAGTTAAGGTTGGCAGGTGCATTGGGGAGGTTTAGCAACTCCCGGAACACCAACCGAAAGGTGCGGCCCCGCCGTGTCTGCACACTGACATCACGAACCCGGATAGACGCTATAATGGGCAACCCACGACAAGCCCGAGCGAAAGCATCGAGCTCCTCCTTATCTGGTTTCCATGAATATTTGTCAAAGAGGTGCTGGAGGCCTTTTTCCACCATACGGCGGACCATCTGGAAAGCTTCTTCCTCTGCGACCTTGTCCACATCTTCACATAGTACGACATGACCCTTGGCCCGAGCTTCATCCCAAGCTGAAATGACTTCTGGCTCAGGACGAGAACTAACTAGCACAGAAAATATCGGTGGCAGCTCCTCAAAGGCAAGCACTAGTTTCATCAGGGACCCGAGTCTCTCCTGATCCCCGCACTCATCAAGGCCATCCAGGACGATAACCATGCGATCCTTTCCCGAAGACCACATATTCTTCAAGTCACGCATCGGCTCAATCATCAGAGTGTTAATTTGTTTCTCCAGAGGGAGGTCCTGAACAAAGACCAAATCTGGTTGCCGAAGGCGTCTGACAAGCGACAATTTGAAATCCTCATTGAAGGATGCAAGTTGGCAAGCAAGGGTAGACGGGAACAGTCCGATAGAATCCAAGCCCGTTCCTGCTTGGTTCTTATCCCAAAAGAATGACGCGGCCAGCATACCCTGCTCCTTAAGAGTGGATGCAACACTCATAGATATCGCAGTCTTCCCCGTCCCAGGAGACCCCCGTAGCCAAACGAATCGATTCCTGGCTTCCTTCAGGTGCTTGAGTAGGGATTCTTGAATCTTATCCCGCGTGCCTGGTAGGCACTCTGATTTGCTTTTAACATAAATGTGCTCGGCTGGGGCTCGCTTGAGTTTCGATATTTCGGCTGGGAACATGAGTGATTAGGAAATTCATCAGTATCTATGCAGACACGTACATTGAACCGATGCGTGCTCGGCACGAAGCAGAATTAAAGTCGATATTCTTAGCTATGGCGGACTTGATTATTCAGGATTTAATTGTTCAAACAATCCTCAAGAAAGCAAACCTGGAATCGAAGAATAGAATCGTTTAGGTAACTCTTCATATTCGTTATTTGCTGTGTTATATCAGGCGCTTGAATGGTCCTCTTGACAACATGCTTTTTCTGGACTAATTCAATGTTCTCTACTTGTGTTTGCAACTCGCTAGGAAGAGAATGAGTGAATGTAAGTGAGAGGGGGACGAGATCCGTACGCGCAGAATCCCTGCACTAGGGTCTTTAGCTCAGGGGGAGTTTCTCCAGTCCATTTCTGGAGGGGCTCAACCACCGATTTTTGTGCTTGCTGGATCACGATGCACAACTGATTGAGTTCCTCGGTGTTGCCACTGACATTCTATATGTATGCATCAGGTATGAAGATCAAGATCATCAAGACGATTCACAAACCTCATAGATTTGAATAAATCTCAAAAGCGTGTTTGGGATCTGATCAAGATTAGCAATGGGAGCGAACTTGAGACCAGCGGCCGCAGTTTCGAGAAGTAGTTTGGTGGTGCCGATGATCGTTTGCTTCAGATCGCCATCGGATCTACGAGGTACTGATTCCGCTGGCACCGATGAAGTAGCTGGGACTGACGATCCAGGTTCTTGCTGCATGTGGATGCTCGGGTCATCGTTACCAGTGGCAACTGCGTTGTCCATCACTCGTGGGTTCACTTCGGCAGGAGGGGACAGCGATGGCCGTGAGTCGTTCGTGAATGTCTGGATGGGAGCAGTCGGCATAGAATGTTTGGATTGGGATGCGCTTGATTGGTTGCGACGACTGGAAGCGGGGTTGGGACTGGGACTCCTCCGGAATAGCCCAAGTAATCTGTCTCGAGACGATGTCCGTTGCTGCATGGTATGATCCTGCAAGGTGCCACCAGGAAGTAAAAGAGTGGGCGCTGTAGTATTAAGGGTGCCAGAATGCAGTCCTGCGGGGCTGCCGTGGTGTTTGTCGTTCCTTCTGTCATATGCGGCGGCAGGCCCGATGATCTGGTGGTTGTTGGAGGGAGGGGGGGTTGAGACCTGCGACCGATCGTCAGAAGACTCAGAAGGGTGCCGCGTCTTCTTGAACCAGGAGGGAAAGCGATGAGATTTAGGATCAGTTGGCATGGTGTCGGTGTGGCTAGCGATCAGAACGGTGTGCGTTCAAGAAGGAGTTTGGGAGAAGGTTGCCCAGCTACTCTTATATCATATATGCGTCGACTCGCCTTAATAGGTATTAGTAAGGCAACGTGGACCCCTCCCTAACAGGGAAATAACCACGCACCTGCCCTGGACCTGATATACAGCGGAAGTGTTTAAGCTACTCCATAGAGATGGAGTGAACCAAGTCCAAAGGCAGCATTGAATACAGTGTAGTGATGCATGCACGTAACACTGAGCCCTCAGCCTGGACCATTCAACGCGTGCTTCCACCCAAGAATGGGAGTCGGTGTGAAATAGCATATACATACCCAACGGCGTGTGAGACAAACGGTGACCATTCGGGAAGCCGAGTATTCATTGAATTGGCTTCTCGATCGATAGCGATAAATAAATCCATAGCTCAGGCCTCCTTGCTTGCAAACAAAGGACATTCAACATGCAAATGCGTGCCCGCTTGACGTGAAATGGAGAAATCGTCCCGGTGGGCGTGGAGGTCTAAGCCAGTCACAAGTGGGATGGAATAGTGCAAGACGGCATTGCGAAGTCGCGTACAGGACCTAATCATTTTCCTTGCCGACTGCATAGTAATGCACACGCATAACGTCGAGCCCTCAACCAGCCTGGGTCATGAAACGTGCGCTTCTATTTCCGCGGAGCAGAATATGTAACGGTATATGTGTAGAGGGGAAATCAGTCTCAGGCAATAATGAGCAAGACAAATTGAAGCGGTTTTGGCTTGAAACGGCACAGAGCTTCAAGTCGTTGGTTTTTTTTTTTGACATTCACATGATCCCGACATTGCGGAACTTCCCATATGCATGATGCTGCTCGCCATGCAGTCTCCAACTCCCGCGAGGGATACCTCACAGGCGCAGTTCGGCGCGTCTCCAATCTACAAGAGTGGTTTGTTTTCATTTTTTGTTCACCAACCCCTGTCCCACTGCCTAAAGTCATGCGATCATTCCGGCTGACCAGCCACTTTCATCTCAACATTTTATCCCTGTGGCCATAATTAAGTCTGAGGAGAGCGGCCCTAGAACGTCCGCACACGCCATTGTTTGGGGTAGACAAAAGAATGGTAAAATGTAATAGGAGGGCTAAAGCGGGAGCTCAGTCTCCGTTAATGAAGAACTGAATTACTACGGTTAATACTAACCTAAAGCGGGAGCTATAGTACAGAAGAGTACAGAGTAAGTAATGTAACAACTAACTAAAAACAATGATACTAACCTCAGTCTCCGTTAATGAAGAAGTGAGGAGAAAAAGAAAGTAAGCGAAAACAGTATATACAATTATATACATTGTGTCACGATGTCACGACCCGGCGTTCCCCGGGGCCAGATGACCTCCTCCCTGACCCTCTCCCATGCCTGACCACTCCCCACACACTCCGCTTGCCACCCGTCGCTGTCTAACCACTTCCCGCCACCTCTCCACAACCCCTCTCCTACTTGTCGTTGAACGACCTAGCGGTGCAGAGCGCCGTGACCCGTTGTCCCATGTTTCACCGCACCTTGTTATCTCGCGGCGAAGGTCACACTTGACCTTCGCTGTCTTGAGCATGTGCTCTTTGTTTGTTTTCCTCCTTCTTTTCTCCGCCCGTAATCTCCGCGAGATCTGGCGACTTATTCCCTATTCAGTTCCCTAGCGCTTAAATACAGCTTGTAACTAATGCTTGTACTGTAGTTCGAAATCAACTAGAATCCACCCCTGAGCTTACCTCTGTCCCCCGTGAGACCTCCGACCTTCTGAAGTATTGGGACCACGTTGAGAACGAGGCGCAACGCTCCTCCTCGAGTCATTGAAGCTGAAATCCCGGCTCAACTTGCCTAAGTAGCCTCGGCCTCGAGATCGGTGGGGTTGATCCCTCGCTAAAGCTCGGTCGTGCGTAGGACGCCTTTACCGCTAGCGGGCAACGTTCGGTTGCCTACGGCTACCATTGGCGAAGATTCGCACGGTTCTGACACACGAGGCGAATACGGATGTAAGAGCGATCATGTGGTGTTGGTTGGTAAGTCACGGGTCGTTGTTACTCCAACAAAATGTTTTTCTGGATTAAGCAGTACATTTCAGAAGAGTTGGTGACACTGTCAAAATTCGCGGTCCAGTTCCCACCTTGAGTTTGGCACTAGAAAGGTTGCGAAGCAACCATGACCTTGCTTGCACATCATTAATTGCTGACCACAAGGCCAGTTATTGGAGTTGGCTTTAGTCATTTAATTCCTTGACACTCCATCCATCAAGCACCCACTCAGTTGACATTTTCTTTGTAGTTAATGGACATAATGAGCACTATGAGTTGAATCGAGGATGGTCTGAAACGATAAAAAGTATAAGGGGTTGGCACCGTCTCTTACTCCTGCCTTCGGCACTTAACCAGAGAGAAAGTGGTCCAGAGAAGTGTCGTTTGGAAGGCGAGCCACCTTCTACACGGTTACTAAGAAGGGGAGCTGAGTCTCTAAACACTATGATCTCCTCCACCATGCGGAGTATGTTGTCCTCTTCTCAGTGCCTATCAAGTGACATGCTGGTGACATCAAACCTAAACACCAATCTGAACATCGCAAATGGAACTCGTGGGGAAGCGGTGGGGGCCGAGAGTTTCGCTTCATTACCGCCCTCTTATCAGGTTGGATGTCGCTCAAGTGCTCTATGGCACCCAACAAAGATGGAGAACTTGCAGTCACGAAGTTCTCATTTGTAAAGTGAGAGTCGATGTTGCCATTTGTGAAGTGAGTACTGGGGTTGTCGCCAGCCCATGGCTGGTACATGACCTGTGCACGAAGCCTTGAAGCGGGCGGACTCCAGCACATATGCTTCGAAAAGTTGAATATGCCAGCAAATACTACTTGGGAAGCAGTGAGGGCATCAGGTGCCGGTTATTACTTGACTCAGGGATGCACTAAACACCAGAGAACTTCAGGTACGATGATGGCAAGGGGGATGACCATAACACAATGATACATAATACAATTCGTTGAATGGTCACATGCTATTGGGAATCACATGAGAAGTAAAAGTAATATAAACACATTTTTCCCACGCAATTGTGGGTTTGGAAGTGACCTTGCAAGCCAGACTCAGTGCCAGTCGCTCACGTGAGTTTCGCCGAAGTATATCCGAATTTTTCGGCGTGGCGAAACTGCGTAAGCGACTGGCGCAATATGTTGTTATTGTTTGTTTAACTCGAGTTCTTTGGCCTCGATAATCACACCAATATTTATTATATTTTCCGTCAGATAATGGGTGACGAGCGCAGGGAAATTCGTTTATAATTAATTAAAGCCTATAAAATACAATATATCGAGCTAGCTAATGAGAGGATCATTCACGGTAGATGACGCAATGGCACTTGAGGTTGTAGCATTCTGCTTTGCGGGACAAAATTTATTGCATTCTGTCAAGGATAGATTGGTGTTAGAATTGTCCAAGTGGGAGGAAAGCAACGTACGTGTATGACCTTCTACCTTGCACAGCTTGCATTTGTAAGGGGCCCGTTGAGGTGCAGTGACGGTAACATGTTGCACAGGGTTATTGGGCGGCAGCGACTCTGTCTTGAGTTTGGATGAAGGGATTTCGGGGGGGGGAGCGATGGAGTGCACCAAGTTGAGGATTTTTTCGGCATGCTTCATTATGAATGGTCGTTGTGCACCCCGGATGTTATTCGAAATATCATCGACGGTGCACAGTGCATGAGCGTGGGAGAGATGACACAACAACTCGACTATTTCATCTGAGATCAGAGCAGCAGGGCCAAGGAAGTGGTCCCTTTTGCCACCCCAGAACTCAGCGTGGACTTGTTGCCTCCATCCAACAAGCCCTGCCTTGAGCCGCTTGTCAGTCTCGCCGCGGGTGTAATTGGTCATGACCTTCACTCGGTTTGGTCTCCTTGATCTCTTTGGTGGGGAGTCGAGCGCATTCATCCCTTCAGTTCGCTTGGGATCGCAGAGGTCACAACAGGAGAGGCAGGGAGGCGGAGTGCAATGCGGACAGCAAAAGGGTTCAGGCCCTGAAAGCCCCACGTGAGGAAGACTCGTGATTGTCAGGGACGCGTCCGGGGTCGAGAGGGCCCGGGGGTAATGCCCGGCACTGAGGCCGTCGCAGGGTGTGGAGCGGGCGTGCATACTGGCGGGCCCGATCCGGGACAGTGGTCCCTGGCCACTCAGACTGAAGTGGAGAATGTGTTATTATTATTAAAGAGGAAAACTATACTACTTACCTGAAGTGGAGAATGTGAGAAGAAGGTTACTTCTTCGGTTCCCACTTCAGGTACATTTATGTACATGTGGCTTGAGTCACATGACAGGTGCCACGTCATCCTCGGAGGCAGCCGCAGGCATCCGGGTGTCCCCGTGGGGGATCCCGAGAGCGTCCGCTACATGCGCGCGTGCTGGGCACAGCGGGAAGCCGTCCGGGGTGTGTGGGCCGGACGGGTCAATAGTACATCGATACAAGGGAAGGTGGTCCGTGTAGATAGAAAGAAATAAACAGGAAGAGGAAGATGAGAAGAATGAAATAAAGAAAGGGGAAAGAAAAGGGAAAAGAGGGGGGAGGAGAGGGAGGAAGGAGGGGGGAGGGGGATAGACAGCGGGGAGCGGGTGTGGTGTGGCCGGGTGGGCCCGGGTGGGCCCGGGTCAGGTGGGTGTGCCCTGACAGTGATGCAGTTCAATGTTGTCACTCACTGAGTTGTACGTTATCATAGACATGATCCAGGACTTTTCGCCTGCACCCACGTTGAGGATGGCTCTCTGGGAGCATGTCAGCATCCAGAAATTCTGCAACCGAGCTCTCGATATTCTCGTACTTCGAGTGGTGGCCGCTTTTGTGTGGTTTGGACGACTTTGTTTTGTCACCCCGAGGTATCTGTGCCCCTTCGGGATTGGTTGGGCCATCAAAAGGATAATCCATTAGGTTCTCCTCTTCGTTGCTCTCAGCGCCATCATCGTCATCGTCATCCTGAAATTCCTCATCTGTCCTCTGTGTGTTGACTGATTGGACTTGAGCACGCTCCAGTTCTGGGAGAGGAAGGTCTACAAGTGCGTCGGAAGGGGGGCCATGGGGCTGAGAGTAGGGGAAGTTTCCCTGATCTCCCAGTGCGGCGCGCTTCCGTGCAACACTACTCACCGGGCCATTTTTGCGTTTCAGATTGAGACGCAGTGAGGCTTCAAGATCGGCCTTTCTCTTATCAACTCTTGGCTTTGAGAAATAAGCCTTCTCTGCAATCAAGATGGCAATCGCTTGGATGGAGCCGTCACGACCTGCCCGACCGAAGCGCTGAACGAGTGTATCGGGGCTCTTGGGAACTCGCCACTGAACCACGACTTTCACTTGGCGTAAGTCAAGACCCTAAGTAAGTGTCATTAGCATTCATTGGATGCATAGCAAGGATTCGTCTCACCATACCGCAGGCATCTGTACAGCAAATCCCCCATATTTTTCCCAATTTATACTTCGCTTCAACGTCCACTTTGAACGTGTCTGACATTCCAGAATGATACCACACAACCCGATCTCGGTGACTCTGTGGCAAGCGAGATCGCAAGAATCTGGCGGTTCGTATTGTATCAACGCGAGAATTGCAGTATACCAAGAACGGTGAGATATTTGCATCTATCCATGCCTGATCATCTACCTTTGCATCCAGTGGAAGCAGGAAAGCCAGATCAAAACAGCTTTGGAGTGTAAACTTCATTGGGCGGACGGAAAGGTGAACATTCGGTCTATCATTCGATCTTCGGATGATTTCAGTGCCGCAGTGCAAACCGGAAATCTTCAGCATGTCTGTTAGAACATGCTGGCGGAGGGTGGCAGAGGTGAAGAAGAATGAGACGCTATCTCTGAGTATGGAGAATAGTCGTCCTATCTGTATGTAAGCAGATCTGAAGTCTCGGCCCCACTGACTGATACAATGTGCTTCGTCAAAGCAGATACGGTCAACCTTCTTCTGAAATTGGGGGTCAAGCCAAAGAGCCATGAAACATGGATCCACTATCAGTTTGGGTGATATGACAACTGTACGGAACTTCCCCAGCCGAATATCCTAGGTGAACCCATATGAGTGCTGACTGAAAACCTTGGTTGATTGTCTTACTTTAACCAGTCCAGGCTTTTCACCAAGCAGTTCTGCGGTGATTGACACAGATGGAAACCCTTTCTTGATGGACTCATCGGACAGCTGGCTTCCAAGACTCTTTAGTGGAGTCACTATGAAAGTAATCCCCTTTTCACGCAACATAGGCAACCAAAAGGTCATTGTTTTTCCTGAACCTGTTGCCGAGATTGACACAACATTTCTCTTGGCTAGTAAGCTTAATGCTACCATACACTGCCAAATGCAAGCGCGAATGTCAGAGACGGGATTATTGTCAGAGGCTGGATTATTGTCGGAGTCGGAATACTGTCAGAGTCTGGCAGACTGTCAGGAGGCGGATAGAAGACGGATTGGGTTTCTGTCTGAGTCGAGGTCGGAGGTGCAGAGTTCTGTTGGAGCGCGCATGCGGATATGTGGGCGGAAATATGCGGCGCATCCGGAAGCGCTGTTCAAGGTTAGCAGAGTGGGATCGCGGCCTCAGCGACTCAGGTGGAGCGCTGTGCCCTGAGCTTGACATTTGGGGGAGATCCCGTATTTACAAACTGACACTTACAGCGGACTTCAAACAAGACTTGCGGGCGGAGCGGACCTGTAGGAGGAGCGCAGACTCCGCGAGCACGGACTCAGAGGGGGGAAGCCCCCTTTGCAGAAGGAGGGACTCAGACCAGACAGGGGGGTACTCTAGTTGATTTCAGACTAAGGTCCCCGAAAGTATTTACAGGATATAAATAGGCAGGAGGGAAACACAGAAGGACTGGTCAGTCCGGCGCGGTCCGGCGCGGAAATAAGCGGGGATTGTCAAACTGAATGAAGGACAAGAGCCCGGGAAATGGGAGGCAATGAACTAAACAAAAGCGGATCAAGTGCCAATATTGACAGGTAATAAGAAGTGCATCAGCACATGGATCAAGTGCCAATATTGGCAAGTTAAGCGAATGAATGGATGAACAGTATAGGCACTCGGCAAGGAATGAATGGTATGCCGCCGAGTGACAAGATGGCCAGAGAAAAGCGGAGGTCAGCGCGCGGCACCGATACAAGTCCGCAAATAAGCGGGGTCGGTGCGGTGCCGACACAGGTCCGTGAAGGGACATGGAAATCAGCGCGGTGCTGACAAGTCCGCAACAGAGGGTGGTCCGTCAGTGCCGTCACAAACAAGGGCAGCATGATGGCCAGCAAGGTCGGAGGGGAGTGTTGGCCTGACCACAGGGTGTGGAGGGCAACCAGGAGTGGCAGAGGTCCAGATGCAGGTGGAGGTCCGGATGCGGGCAGAAGTCCAGATGCGGGTGGAGGACTGGATGCAGTGCATGGTTGATAGGGCAGGGGGCCAGACATCGGATTGGGGGCTGGTTAGATTGGGTTTCAGGTCAGCGGATTCACCTATCGGCATTGATTCACCGCTGATGGAGCCCCAGGATTTGTCGGTCATGACAGTGAACATGGAACTGGGTTTTGCTTTCATCCTGGAGCCCCTTGATATCTGACCCTATGGAGGGAAGAGCGGTGGGTGTCATAAATGGATCGTGGCTTGGGATTATTGATTGTCCGGGGAATGCCGAGTCAATGGGTTCCCGCGCTTGTCACCTCCGCCCGCCCAATCCCATACCACTAGAGTTGTGAGTGTTTTTGAATGCTACAGGGCATCAAAGTCACTAATTGTTAACCCCATTCCTCTGGGCTCGTCATGTGCCGGATCCCTTTCGATGGGACTGTCCTCATCATGGTCATCATTATCCTCCCTGTGAGCTTCTTCTCCACCTACATATGATTGGGCCCCTTTGAGAAGAACGTTGAGAACTTCTATTTTAACCATAGTATGTGGTCCTCTTATTCGCTCTTGAAGCATTTGAAGCATGACTTCCATTTTTGCCGGGGCATGTTGTGTACCCCGGTGCTTGATATAGAAGTTCTGTTCTATATTGACATGTACCATTCGGTAGGTCTCTATCAGCGAAGACTGGTTGATAATGTGGGTAAGTGTCCTGTTCGAGCTTGAGCCACCAATGATGACCTGAGGTAAGTGAGTCACTGTCTGACTGAGAATATGCGGGTTCACCTGCCTTTGTATACAGATTGTTTCGCTCAACAAGCCAATCTACACCTCTAAATCCATCTGGTCGACCTGATGGATTGCATACCCAGTGGGATCGGATTACTTGGGCCAGGCGGGCAGGGTAGACTGAATGCAGATTGCGAAGAAATTTCGCGAGGTGCACCGCATATTTATGCTTCCCACAGCCTGAGAACATCAGCACCCATAACCACAGAAGATCCTCCATCGCGCCTATCGCACCAGTGTTCATTGCATGTGCCAACATGCAGTACCACAGGCCATCACGTCGAAATAGTAAGTTGCCTTCTTCCAAATAATCTCGTGGATCCTCACTCTGTCGTCGCACCTCGGATATCCATCCTGCAATCTTCTCCTGACAGATCTTCTTTGAAAGAGCAACAATTTCCGACCATGATGGATCACTATCGGCGAATTCCTTCAAGTCGGAGAAACCAGTAGCTCGTTCCCAACAAACCAGCAAGTGTGAACTTGTGAGGTGTAGGATTCCATCATTCAGCATGCGGTAAGTTGGGTTACTTGCAAGTTTCGATGAGTCTTTCGGCTGGAGGATTTTGAACTGATCAAAGATGCCACCCCTGACTTCACGTAGTGCCTTCGGCTGAATGTGAACTCGCCAGATGGCATCTACACAGGCCATACGAATATGGAAGCCACCAGGTATAGTCACAAGGAACTGGAGTCGTTCCTGTGGTGTGGATTCAATCGCATGTGACTCTGTTGTCGCATCGTGCCTTTCTTGCGTACCCAGGTCACCATGACACAGCCGGACGAAGGAATGGTACCATTCTGGGCTTGTTCCAGCCTGCCGTTCAAGGCTCTTCACTATCGCAATATTATCGTCATTCACTGATGCCTTCAGGTGCATTGCTCGAGCAGGGTACTGCACCGTCTTCTCTGGTACGTCCAATGTAAATGAGGATGGCATCTTTCCAAGCTCACCCTTGTATTGCCCAAGGTAGTTATCGACAATTATCTTCTGTGTAAACCATTCCATTCCTTGCAGCACACTGTCCTGCCGCTCTTGGATGCGCTCAAAGAGATATTGTCGGTCAGGTGTGGCAGGAGGTCTCGAGTCCTTGGGATTATCTGGATTCAGGGAGCTCTTCTCCCAAAGCTCCTTCGAGTATCGGAGGTCATCAAGCGTGGTACCATAGGTGAGTGGAATAAAGGTGGCTGTTGTTATACTTGAAAACGTCCCTTGGTTCTGATCACTGGGCTCTTTCGTCTTAAAGTCAAAGTCCAGATTGTCATATGCCATCGCATACAACCCGGGGTCTGAGAGCTTCTTCAAGCTTGCTTTGAGGCTTTCGGTCACTGACTGAACCATATGGCAGATAGACTCCGCCGATACACTCCACCCTCCATGTGAGAGTACTTCAATGACTCGCCTTGGTGTGTTTGTGGAGTCAAGGAAGAAGCCTTGAATGGCTTGGAATGCATTGCATCTTTGGCTTGAACTGTTTGCCAAGATCGAAAGGATTGCGACCCCTTTCTGTGTGCGCCGGTAAGTCATAAGTTTGATCCAGTATTGTTAACTCACTACTCTCAGAAGTGCCGCGTTACGTCTTTTTGCTCGAGTACGACCATTCCTCTTGCTCTCTTCCTCACTGCTACTCTCACTATCGCTGTTGCTTTCACCTTCCCCAATCACATCATCGCCATCTGCCAACTCGCCAAGATCTACATTCGGGTCATGTCTTGTCCGATAGTCAGCCACCTCTCTTGATGGCTTTGCACGTCGTCGTGCTTCTCCATTAGCATCAAGGAGCGACTGTACTAAGGCCCAAGTCTTCGGAGTCACACAACGGAATTTATCGATCATTTTCTCAAGGCTAAAGTTTGTTACATTGTCCGCCGTTGCACTGTGGGCATTGAAGTGTAAGCCATGTATGCTCTGAATAACTGTCTTGATCTCATTAACATAGATCCTCTGAGACAGATCCAAAGCCCAATTCTCCACTGCGTTACCTGTCGCTTCAGTCCATAACCGGGGATCACGACTTTCTAGCAACGCGATGAGAAAATTCGGTATCGTTTGCAGTGATGAGCTTTCGATTAGATTGATGATCTCGAGGAGTGCTTGTGACATCCAAGGTCAAGAACTAGATACAAAGTGTAGGATTGTTTTATAGATGCAACCCATCAATCATCTCCATTATCTGACGGAAAATATAATAAATATTGGTGTGATTATCGAGGCCAAAGAACTCGAGTTAAACAAACAATAACAACATATTGCGCCAGTCGCTTACGCAGTTTCGCCGCGCCGAAAAATTCGGATATACTTCGGCGAAACTCACGTGAGCGACTGGCACTGAGTCTGCTTGCAAGCAAGGTAAAAGGAATTGGGATGAAATTGTCACGGTAGGTAGTTAAGTACCTTTTCTCGCCGACAGTGGATGTCTGAGGCTGGGTCATGCTGTGAATCTCAGGCTACATAGATCTCTGATGCTGTTCTTCCAGCTGCTTCACCTCTTTCCGCAGAGGCGGTTCAGGTAAAGCGATTACCAAGCCACTCATCGCATTGCTTCATGCATCCCCTAATTCTGAAGAACTCCCGCCACCTATTATTCTCTCAACACTCCGATCTCTTGAACAATCTCACTGGCATGCAGGTGCTTTGACCCTCAAACTCTTGCTCGATGGTCCACATCCGTCCTCTTCTGTGTAAGGCGATACCTCATCCAAGCCTTTACATATCGGCCTGATGACAAAGCAGGATTCATTGCCACATTGGATGAATTTGGGCTTTAGGGACCCCACGCCGTCTAGAAGCTCTCTTCTTAATCAAATCCCTCCCCATAGGTGTCGCACCCCTCTCACGTCGCCACTTCATCGTCTCTATAGCTGTCCAACAAAGTGCTGTTATTAGTCTCTCTGTGGTCCAGTCACTCGCTGAGATTGCATACATCATCAACTTACCCCAGGATGGTAAATGCATCGCTGTTGTCCCCGTGAGCGATCTCACATCGGGCCCAGTAAGAGGCGCGTTAGGGGTACCCGGGTTCACTGCTAGTCAGGTTAGAAAGTTTTGGAGATAGGTCTTGTCTGTACGTCATCATGCAGACGGTTGGCATGTATGGGGCTCTGGATTCCCGCATTGCTTCTCCGGTTCCTACTGTTCTTCAGTGGTATGAACGTTCAGTTTGAACCATCCATGGCGCCTCCCCCGTTTTGATTGCCATCTCAAGAGATGTTTCGCCATAGCTAGCGTACATTTGAGAATTATCTCTCAATTTAGCCTTTGCCTTATTTAATGCGACAGTGATCAAGGAACACTAGGTGCGCGCTCATCTCCAAACCATAACTCGAAACCCCCTATGCGACCAACCCACCGGCCAATCGGGGTCAACATCACCTGAGATCTCTTCTCAGGGGACGCTGCGCTGTGGAAGTCATCGATGGCGCCTCATCCCTGGACAAGCCCGTAGTCAGGTGTACTCCAAATGGAGGGCCCAGAAGGTGAGGAAGAAAAAGTAGCCATCCATTGTAATTCATCAACTCCATCCTCTTGGCTGACTTGCGCTTGAATAAGGGATATAATGGGTAAATAACGGGTCGGTGGTAGAACCGCTGAGGGCATGTTGCCGTTGGGCGCAGTGCGTGTAAACAAAACAACACCTGTGCACTAATTGCCATGCGCTCCGCGATTGTGCTTTCTAGAACTTGCAATACTACCGCAAATGCGGTGGCTGTGTCAGACGCACCAGGTTATCACGCTGCTCTGGCACCCTCTAAGGATGGAATCTAAACAGAGTCATCGTTGGGCGAAAAAGCGGTCCTCTGCGCACGATAAGTAACAATATAGATGCCCATCCGGCTGGCGCAGTCAAAATGTTAAGATAAATTTTCTCCAATAATACATATACAAACTCGGAAACCTTGAAGAGTCGAGTGTGTCTATGAATCTCCAAGCGGTAAACCATATTGTACAGCAACGAAGAGCGAGCAAATACCGGTATGGGTGAAAAGCGTTGAAACAAGTTGCCCGATCATCCACCCCAAGAACGGAGTGGTTGTGCCATCGCCAGCCACGGGAACAACAGCGTTTGAACTCTTGATATAGAAACCGCGCTGAGTAGAGGTAATACCGAGACCGGCTGGGGTGCCAAAAGCTGCAGGTGCGGCGTGGAGGACTGTGAGAAGGAACTCAGCAAATTGAAATGACGTTGAGACAATGAGGTTCCGCATGGAGTACCCTCCTAACAGGAAGACTATTACTGATCATGCCATCCACTGATCCGGTGGGTGGTTATCACAATGCGGAGCTCTGGAACGATGCCCGCTTGTCCCGTCTGGCAAGAATGTAGCCGATTTAATGCATAGGTTACAGTGGCAATGACAGGATACTTACTCACCAATGGCGCATCCTTCTACGCGTCTCAGGAGACCAATACGGATCATCAGCGGATACACTAAGGTCGCCTTCCATAGGAGGTAACCCTCCAGGTTCAGCAACAGTGTTGTTGAATACTCTACCATTTCCAAGGCCTTCTCTCACGAGTGTCGCGCGCATAGTGATAGGTAGGAGGGTACCAAAGGCTTTTGAAATAGTCCCAGCCGTCAAATCACTGGGCAAGCTGGTGCATGCGTAGGTTTAGGCCATTTGTGTTGCCGTACGACTTGGGCACTACAGCACCGGCGGTTAGGGCAACCCTCGAGGAGGCGTGGAGGCGTATTGATAGCGGAACTTATAGCTTCAGGAACAGGGCGATCCAAAGAGCGAAGAGACGGCGTCTGTAAAGAATCCTTTGAGCCCGCCTGTACGACAGATTGGAGAGTCTCGATGCGGCTTAGTAATAAGTGGCCTCAAGACGTCATCCCCCCCTCATCAGCGTCTGGGCCCTCAGAAGTAGCCAGATCCGATGAGCAAGCGGGCTTTTCAGTGTCTAGACATTTTGAAACTGTGAACGAACGAAACCCGGAGATTGGGGGACAGTGCAGCATCTAAATCCGACGATGGAGATGTCTTGAATCTGCTTCAGGACAGCTCATCTAGTGCCGGAAAGCTCTCATCAATAACGGGTTCAAATTGAGCAACAGCGGGGGTTACACACACTTGCGCCACATGGACAATATATAGCTCCACTACTGTATTCCGACGTCCCCTTTTTATGGTGTTCATTTATCACGCTCTACCGATTAGCGCGCTGCTTCATTCGATTCAGGAAAATCGACAAAACTGAATTGTTTCAGCCGAGAACCACGGTCGCGAAGCGAGTCCATTCCAGAGTTGATTACTATTTCTCCTTATGTAGAGTGAAATTTCGGTGAGAAAGCCGATCAGTAAATAGTAATGTCCAGATGTAGGGCATATGCTGGCCGAGGCGGTGACAATTCGTAGTGGAAGCGCTGCCCGGCCCAGGTTCTGGGTCACAATACGCGATCATACAGTGCGGGTTACCGTAGAGCGCACCTGGAACCAAGGACAAGTAGAGCACAGCGTGATGATAGTGGGAAGGGTTGTTTGTGCCCCAACTGGCGCCCTTTCCCATCGCCATGCGTACAAATTCCTTCAACCGACATTCCTTGGGTCCAAGTCGAGCCAGGGAGGAAACCCATAAGTCCGTCGTCTGCTTTGGGTCATAGATTCACTTCACCAACGACGCATGCAGATACCCTAAGAATAGGAAAACATTATGGCCAGAGAATAGTATAAACTAAATCCCCCAGGCAAGACGATGGATGATAGAATCGGCAGCGACATATAGAATCGGACGTGTGGCAACGGTCGCTCTATGGATGGGTTTGATTGCGAAGTCGATCCATGAGTGAGGAGCGAATAAAGAATAGTTGCGCACACTGTAAAGCTTCAGGCAGTTGCAACCTGGCCAGAAAACAGAGGGAAGGTGTGAGCGAGATGTTGTGGGTATCAGCAGACTCGGACCCAGTCGTTCCAGGGGAACGACTGGTGGAAAACATTGCATCCGGGATGATGTAAGCGCTACATGTGACTATACCGACGTCGGTACAATGTATATCACTATTTACACCTACTTCGATGTAAACTCGCGAACGGCATGCCACCGACTCCATCCCTATCCTATCCGCACCCATATGCTGAGCCAACAGAAGATACAATAAGGAGAAATGTCGCTGACGTCTTTGGGAAGACTCTTTGCGGTTTCCAATTGAGAGCAGTCGTTGCCCAAATCCATCGGAGGGATTTGCTCTTGACATCCGGGACTGGCTCTGGCAAAACTTTGATATACTGGGTGCCATTGCTGTATAATGGCGGAAGGATTCTAGTAGTCATAACACCACTTACTGTCCTTGGCTCTCAGCAAGCAACTGGACTGAGCGCACTTGGTGTAAGATCTGTCTGTATCTCAAAGGACAATCTATCGCCAGATCTTCTTGAGGTTTGTCTTGTTTTTCACCGATATTCGGAATCCAAATGCTATATTATATGCCTATAGGACATCTGCCATCGAAAATACCGTGTCATTATTCTCTCTCCTGAGCTGGCTATGGACCATCGCTTTCTGGAGATATGGACGCTGGACTCCTTCTCGACTTGGGTAGACCGAGTCATTGTGGACGAATGCCATGTGGTTTCTGAATGGGGGTCGACCTTTCGTGAATCATATAAACATCTCCACACCCTTCGCTACATTTTCCCACCGTCTGTGACCATTACTGCTGCAACTGCTACGCTACCTCGCTGCATCAAACTCGAAGTTATCCAAAACCTCGGGCTTTCAAAAAACTATGTGGAAGTCAAGAGGACAAATGACCGCTTTAACATTAGCCTTTCAGTGTGGAAAATGCGGGGTGCTTTCCGAAAATATCACGATTTAAACTTCTTGGTCACTGTCGGTGGCCCTTGGATGGCTTTCTTTGATGATCGAAACCACACGTTGGGTGCCGCAAAATATATCCGGAGCCTCCTAGGCCAAGAGTCCAAGGAGAAAGTCGTTTGGTTCCACTCTACCATGTCTGCCGACTTTCGTGCATCTGCAATCCAGAAGCTTAAATCAGGTACTTTGATTGGGATTTGCTGCACAGACGCAGCAGGAATGGTATGTGCTCCTAATATATGTGCACTGACATCAGTGCGCATGCACGAGCAAAATATTTTAGGGACTTGATCTTCCCAACATCAGGCTTATTGTGCAGTACGGTGTTCCGGATACACTCTCAACTTGGGCTCAACGGCTCGGAAGGGGTGCCCGAGATTTTTCCTTATTTTGTTCTGCAATCCTCATTGCTGAGCCAAAATGGTTTGGTCCTGAAACTCCAGTATCGACATCGTCGAAGACGACCCAGCGGGTTTCCGAGATTAAACTTAGGGAAGCTATGGCTATGAAGGAGTTTATTACAACCAGCCGCTGCCGTCGAATCATTCTGAATAGATATTTCAGTAATGATGACTGTGGTAAGTTCGTTTATTGTGCAAAGATCAGGTGCATTTCTTATCTGGTATCAGACATAGAAGAGTTTTGCTGTAGCCGATGTGCCCCTCACACCCCACTATCATGCTGCGATAACTGCAGTCCCGGTTCCAGTATTCTTCAACCCCCAGATGAACCTACTGTTTTGATCCGCCGTGCCCCATTAAGGGCTTATGAGAGGTCCGAGGCTGAAGAGCAACTGGAACAGCAGCTGCTAAAATGGAGGGAGGAAAAACTGCGGGGCCTTTTTCCTGATGAGGCTGACATCTTGCCGGGTTCTGACATTCTTGCGGATGAAATTCTTACACAAATCGTAGATTTAGCACATTTTGGGCGTCTTCCGAGCATTGAAGCCCTACAGTTTGAAACACGATGGACACTTAGTTCGAGATTTGGGCAAGAAATATTGGCGCTTGTGACTGCAACTCATCCACAAACTGTTCCGAGCATGAAGAAGGAAGCTGATCTAGAAGAGCTCAAGGCACGAAGACCTCCCACCTGCAGTGCATGCAACAATCCTGGCCACACTAGTGAGTTAGACGCTTCTCAAGTGACTAGATACTATAGAATTAACAGTTCTTGTTTCAAGAAATGCAAAAAATCTGTCCACAACACCCGAGCCATATCCAGGCCTCAGTCCAAAGTTCTCTAGCCCAACCTCCCTTTCCCCTTGCTGCTACATCCCTATCAAACTCAGCTCAGTCGTTGTTTCGAAGACCTAGCTCCCTGTTTGAGCATCACCTTTCATTTCCGACACATTCAGTTCCAGCTAAACGTGCACCGGAACCTGTAGACAGTACTGACTCCCACCATGCTAAGCGATGTGGGTTTATCCATGCTACGGATGCGGCACTTTCTGATTCCGGCCTTCAGTTTACGTGGGCACAAACTTTCCTCCACCTGTTGACTATGGGAAACTGCCAATTGGGAAATTCAAAGGCAAGTTAAGCACAGATGGTAAGGAACTGCTTAATTTGTCGCTACTACTGCGGCTGCTCATCAACTAGTGCATCGTCGATTTCCATCCATTCTTCTTGTGCTTCCCTTCCAGTGCCTACATCATCTAAATTTTCCACGACAGGCTGATTTCCATCCATATCCACCACTTCTCTGCTTGCCACATTGATCTCATCCTGCATCATTCGACGGCCGCGTGTAATGTGGTTTGGAATCCATGCATCGGCTCTCCGACCTTCAATGTATTTGTTAGGATTAACTACCTTAATTCCGTCCACCAGGCGCTTCAGTGTCTTCTCTATTTTGGGTGGTGGGTGAAGAACAGCTGTGCTTTTTATATAGAAGTTTCTCTCCAAACTTTTCATCGCTTTTCGGAATGTTCCCACCAGAATAGAGTGTTTATAGATTAGATTCCACGTTCTCGATGGACCACCTGCACCACCCCAGAGCACCTGGAGCTAAGGATAAGAACGTCAAAAAGTGATGATAGAAATAATTAAAATACTTTTGTGTGAAGATTTAGCTCTTCAACGCCCCAATCAACGGCCCGATACTGGCCATTTTTCCCCGTAGGACAAAACACCCAATTCATACGTATTGCGTGACTATGGGATGTTCATGAAGCTAGAAATTATAGCCAGAAATGCACAACAATACATACCTCAGTGGTTCGGGGTACTCAAAACGAAGGCGATATAGGAAATTGGATATCATCCTTGCATATTTATGCTTCCCAGTCGATTTCCACATTGGCACCCAAGAATATAGCACCTGCTCCACTCGCCCGATATCCCCAGATGAGACTGCTGCCTTGAAGATCGTACAATCCATGAGGTCACGAAGATACAATTTCGAGTTTGCGTTGACCTGATCAGCATTCGCAGTTAACCTTTCCCGGTCAAATGCAGGCCCAGGCAAGAACTGTTCCACCATTTCATGGGAAATCGCGACAATATCTTCCCATTTTGGTTTAGACTTCACCCAGTCAGCAAGGGTTTCCCATCTTGGGTCTTTAGCCTTAACAGCAAGACGCCAGCAGTCCAGTACAAGCCCCCAGCTAGTATGAGTCAGTGAAGACTCGAGGCGGTGAAGGTCTGGCATAGAACTCGAGGAGAATTTTCCCTTTTCTTTTGGGCGTAGTAGTGTGAGCCAGCGGAGAGCATCTGTATGTTTGACACCAGTATGATTGGTTGTCACGACCCGGCGTTCCCCGGGGCCAGACGACCTCCTCCCTGACCTTCTCCCACGCCCGAACACTCCCCGCACACTCCGCTCGCCGCCCGTCGCCGTCTAACCACTTCCCGCCACCTCTCCACAACACCTTTCCTCCTTGTCGTTGAACGACCTAGCGGCGCAGAGCGCCGCGACCCGTTGTTCCATGTTTCGCCGCACCTTGTTATCTCGCGGCGAAGGTCACGCTTGACCTTCGCTGTCTTGAGCACGTGCTCTTTGTTTGTTTTCCTGTTTCTTTTCTCCGCCCGCAATCTCCGCGAGATCTGGCGACTTATTCCTTATTCAGTTCCCTAGCGCTTATATACGGCTTGTAACTAATGCCTGTACTGTAGTTCGAAATCAACTAGAATTCACCCCCTAGGCTTACCTCTGTCCCCCGTGAGACCTCTGACTTTCTGAAGTATCAGGACCGCGTCGAGAACGAGGCGCAACGCTCCTCCTCGAGTCGTTGAAGCCGAAATCCCGGCTCTCTCACCTAAGTAGCCTCGGCCTCGAGATCGGTGGGGTTTATTCCTTGCTAAGGCTCGGTCGTGTGTAGGACGCCTATTCCACTAGCGGGCAACGCTCGGTCGCCTACGGCTACCCTCGGCGAAGATTTGCATGGTTCTGACATTGGTCTTCTTTTGATTTTCCTTCTCTTTCTCAGGATGTAGACGGGCCAAAGGGGAAAACCATGCTCTATATAGCCCTTCGAGCCCTGCCATCCAAACATGGAAGAGACCTGGAATGTGAATAAGATACTGCATTCGGAGTCCAGGTGTCTCTTCGGCAGCACGATGCTCACGAGCCGACTCGAGTTTTTCGAAGGCTCCAAGGTCTCCATGCACTAGCTGGACGTAATTGTACAGGTCTGCCGCTTGATAGCCAGCCTGACGGTGTAAGTCTTCTATAGCCCTAATATTGTCATCTATTGTCGATTGCTGTAGATGCATTGCCCGGGCAGGGAGAATTTCACTCTTGATCACTGGGACTTGCATGACAGGGGCTAAGTGGCCAAGATTCCTTTTGAATTTGGCAAAATCAGGAGCAAGTTCAACAAGGATTCGACGAAAGTAGTATGCATATGCTTCCCGCATATGCTTTGCAGTTCCCGGAGGTGGAAGGTAGTCCAAATAGGTCCTCTCTCGAACAGGAACTGATCGGTCTCGATGTGGATTACGAAGATCACAGTGCCAAAGGTGGTCCGATACACGAAGAGATTCAGGGTCAACATGAGCAAGAGGGATGAAGATACCAGAGGTGGCATTGAGCATGTAGCCTTGTCGTTGTATAGTTGGCTGAGAAGTAGAGATGTTGACATCGAAATTATCATATGCAAGCATGACACGGGAAAGTTTTCCATCGCCCTTGAGCCTCTTTAGTTGGCGTGTATGATCTTGAGATAGCGAGCCAATCATATTCAGTATGCTTGAATAAGAGAAACAGATACCGGCATGTGCAAGAGCATCGATGACTTTTGACGGTGTCCTTTTTGCATAAAGACAAATACTGAGAAGTGCTTGCGTTCCAGAGCATTTCTGGTTTCGATTCTGAATAAGGATTGAAATTATGGTGACACGTTTCTTATATATATATATATAAATTTAGGTGAATATGATAAGACTGTAATTCTTACAATGAGTAGGAGTGCAACCTGCCGCTTCTCACTGCGGGATCGGCTCCTTTGAGATGAAGGTGGGAAGCCACTAGAATCTAACCAGCAATCATCGTCGTCATTATTTTCGTTTTCCAAATCGTCAATGTCCTCCCATTCATCCAGTTCAACAATTTCCTCGGGGGTAAATGTTGCCGAAAGGAGACAGCCAATAAAATGCCACAAAGTAGGAGCTTTATGGGAGAATTTCTTTGCTGTCTGCTGAACAGACAAAAATTTAACTTCCTTGTGTGTCATAGATGAAGCTGAGAAATGGAAGCCAGAGGCTATGTCTGTTAGGCAATCGAGCTCATTCGTGAGTTGTTGGCGAGTGTAAAGGAGCACTGAAGTGAGAAACAGGGTAGGATCCCGCGAGTAGAGCATTGAGAGACACTTTTGGAGGCTTTCCCTTTGAATAATGAGACCAACAAGCATAGGGAGAGATCCCTTGATTTTATGGAGATTTGTGGGGTTGTGATGCAGATCATCGCTAAGGCAAGCATCGAGAAATTCATACAATGTCAGACCATTTGCTTCGAAGGAGTTAAGCACAGCCTCTATATGCGCTCTCTTCGGCACTTGAAAGGGTGAAGGAAGTGGGGACTGGTGGACGTTCATTGTATCGGACAGTGAGATCAGTTGCACAATAATATTCTTGTTGAGTATTGTTTGTTCAATTCAATATGCACAAATAACAGTATACAGCTGTCGTGGGAAAATGTTTTCCACCAGCCGTTCTGACAAGATAAACAAGCATAAACAGAACGGCTGGGTACGAGCCTGGGGTATCAGAAGCAAATTAAAAGATGACGTTAGCTGCCGGGATTAGTTGGCGGGAATGGCAGGGAGTCTGTGCGTGTCCTCGGCTCTCGGAGTCAGCTTGTCCGAGCGACGGATTCAGAATTGTCTGCTTCGAACTGCAACAGGCTGGGTTGGGCAATGAAGATGGAATGTGTTGAAAAACAAGGTTACGCCAGCGAGGGTAGGTGATGGAAGTAGATCGCTAAGTTTATTAACCTGATGTAAATAACCGTAAATACACGATTCGAGCTTGACTTCCAACACACCCTCTCAAGCGAAGAAACATGTAACAATGACAAAATGAAGTGAAAAACAATCAGAGCATTTCAACCTTTGAACTCGACTTGGGTTCTGAATTACCAGCCAAAGCCGCTTCCTCTCCAGCTGCCCAATTGGCCTGTTCTAACTTGCGCTCACGTTGGAGACGAACTTCACGGGGGTTCAGGTTACAATCCATCTTGAAATGACCTGGCTTGCCACAGTTGAAACAGTTTGCAGCACCCTTCCACAGTTCCTTTGTGCAAGCAACAAATGCAGCTCGCCCATCCCGCGTCTGATATTCTGTCTGTCGGGTTTCCTCATTCAGGAGTCGCATGATGACATATTGAACGGGATCGGAATTCGATGTAGGACTAGAGCCTTGAAGTTCAGTGTCGAAATGAACAATGAGTGGGGCATAAGCCTCAGGGAGTTGACATGTCAGGGTATTGATGATATCGACAGGGATCATGGGTGAACCAATTGTTGCTAAACGTTGGGCCAAATCTTCTGTTGAAATAACCACCTCAGCCTAACAGGGTGTATGGTGTAATGGCAGTGCACGCTGAGTTCGCGATCCAGAAGACTGGAGTTCGATTCCCAGTATGTCCAACTTTTAGGTTTCCCTAAAAGACCACATGCAAATTCCAACATCTTCGACCTTTGTGATCCATTGGTGCATTGTCAAATCGGGTTCGAATATCATAGAATTACATTGACGATGGAGAGAAGAGATAGTGCTGCGGCCTACAGACTGGAACATTAACTTGAGCTTGTTCCACGTCCCTGGTGCGTCCGCGTTATCACAGTGCACCATATATTTGGTGGACACATTTAGAAGGATTTCTGCTGCAGCTAAGTGGTGCTTCTTCTCCCAAGCCAGAACAGTCTTCGAATTTGGACTACCAGTTGGCTTCTGACTGTGTCTGGATACGATATCCCACAAATCTTGCTTGGTCAAGTGGGCCTCCATGTACATGGCCCAACTGGGGTAGTTATTATCATCGAGTTTGTCAAATGTGACTGTAGGCATGGTGAGAGAAGGGGGAATGATGGGTAGCAGTGAAAGTGGGGGTCGGCAAGCCGTAGGCTTGCCATGATACAGTCATGTGATAAAATTCATAGTCTCAAAGCAAGGGCAAAGTGGTTAGGGGATGTAACTCCCTCTACAGCACCTTTAGGGTTTAGTAATATATAGAAAAAGCCATCGTGCAATGTTAAGGAAGAGTGCAAACCAGCCAAATTTTTTTCTTTTGGCTTGGATATGGAGATATGGGTATAAAAATCAAGGTTTTGGCACATTCCGGGTCAAAAATCGAAAAACTGCCTGAAACGCGCTCACGGGAGCTTTATTTTAGGATGACTTTTATATTACCAGAAGAGAGTTTTTGTGTTGAAATTTTCGGTTTCATCCTCATCTTTGGTGCCTCATATTTCAATTCATCGGAAGTTCCCACAGTTGATGGTACAATGCTATTAAGGTAATTTGGCTTGGACAGGGCCCTGGGGCATCACTTAATATTGGTTTATGCTGCAGAAAAATGTCAAATTGTTAGAACTTGCGGATTCGGACGACTCCGGAGCGGAATCGGAGACTTAGCATGGAAGGACCTCGGCCTCAGCGACTCAGGCGGAGCGCTGTGCCATTGCTGGTTGTCCTGGGGGTCCCTAATTTCGGATCTAGCAGAGGGAAAGTCTCTTGGGGGGGAATTCCAGTCGATTTCGGACTGAGGTTACAAGTTACTAGGTACATTGTATATAAAGAGGGGTCCGGAATCAAAAGGGACAAGGGTAGGACAAAAGGAGACAAAGGGAGATGGAAAGAGGAGCAACACCGAGGGTCAAGTGTTTGACTCAATGGTGTTTCCCAAAGGAGGAATGAAGGGCCAAGGCCCAAGAAGGAAGGAAGGAGGATGGGAGTCGGGAATGGCTAGCTGACTGAATAGAAAGGAAGCAGCAGCCCAAATAGGAATGAGGGAGAATAGCGGAATTGAAATGGACAATGCAATAGTTGCAAGGTCCGGAGTAAGTCCGGAAAGTCCGAACTCGGAGGTTAAACTCCGGAATATTGGCAAAGGTAATTAAATGGAATGAGCTAACCAATACAATGGGTATAAGCGGAGGTGGGGTCAAAGTCCGAGGTCGGAGCTAAGACCGGAGGTTCCGGAGACAGAGACGCCAACGGGATTCCGGAGCGGAGGTCCGGAGTCGGGGACATAGGTGTTGTGTACTCGTCTGGAAGGTGTCGAGGTTGGGGTCGGACCTGGAATGTTCCGGAGTCGGACCGAAGGTGGTGTCCGAGCCGGAGGTGGGATAACCTTTTGGGAGTCGGCAAGGAGAAGGTGACGGAAGGGAAGTAGGGCTCCGGAAGTCAGGTTCGGAGTTCCGGGAGCCCGGAGCGGAGGTCGGGATTGTATGGATATGACACAAATCCCCAGGGCTTTAACAAGGCATCCAATAATCGAAGGCAGAGTGCAAGGATGCTCATGCAAGCAAGGCATGTGGTGCAGCATAAATTGTCACCTAGGAAAGTAGGATTCAAACAAAAACTACTGGATCCGACAGCCCACTTCTACAAATCAAAGTGCATTAGGGTAGCAATGGGGTATGACAATGCAAAGAGGCAACTGAAGATGGCACAGAGTGAATTATATCGGGCCCGACAATCAATGAAGCGCAGTGACAACTCACAGAAGGCTGCTCGGGGAAAACTGAGAGATCTTAGGAAATTGATGCAGAGTAGGAGCGCGATGACCTTATCAAAAAACTCGCATCAGCCCACATTGCAATCGAAGAAGCAGGTATAAAAATCAAAAATCAACGCAACACTATGTGGAGTATGCGCCAGACAAACTGTGCCCTATCCTTGAAGGCAGCTAGGGAAAGAGTACGGCTATCAGGGATCAAAAAATCTCTATCCCAACTCTCTGGTAATCCATTGATCAAGAATGGGATTTACACTCGTGAATGCCGCTGCTTATGCCGCCGCTTCGTAATTCTTGGATGTCCAATTAGCAGTGTTGGTCCAATACTGCAAAGCTGCAGCGAAGTTCTGGGAATAAAACTCACAAAAGCCCCAAGTGCCAAGTCCGTAGCTCGGATGATCTGGGAGGGTGGGATTATGGCCAAGATTCAGCTTGCATCCGAATTGCATTCTGCCCCTGGTGAGATAGCCTTTGCTTCTGTTGATCCCAACTAATTGTAATCCAAAAAAGCGTTTACAGTTAGTGGTGATAGTACTTCACACAAGAAAATAACCTATGGTGTCATTAACCTAATTATGAAAGCCCTGGAGTACAAATCCAATGCAGATACAGCTAGGATGCAACAGAAACAGCGGTTCGCTTCTCTGCACTCTGCTGAGTCTCATACGAGTGAGATGCAACTGGAGAACCTGGAAAGTGTTCTTGGGGAACTTACAATTCCATTGCTGTGCAGAACGACCCTACATGGACCCCGATACAAAAGGATGATCTCATCTGCAAAATTACCGGTTGTAATGCAGATCATGCAGAGGACCAAAAAAAGTTTTCATGGCTTCTTAAAGGCCAGAAGGATGCCCTCTGGATCTACAAACTGGGAAGTGACTTTGTCGCTTCTTTGTCTGAACCTGCCCTACAAGATTTGCGGTCCTGGGAATTGGGCCATGCTACTGCTCTCGTGGGGCCAGATAATTGGAGTCAGCTCTCACTGGAGGACAAGGAAGCATATCTTCAAAAGGCTCAGGATGAAGCAATCAAATACTATGGGTGCAATGCATGGGAGAAACTCACTGAAAATGAAAAGCAGCGGAAATCATTGTTCCTTTGGACCGGATGCATGATGCACAAAGATTTGAATGCATTCAAGGGTGGCCACTCTGCACTTGCCAATTTCTGGGAAAGAAATGGGCTAATTCCACCAGTTTTGCTACTCAACCGGGATAAATCTAATCATCAGGCCGAAGGTGGTAACCCAAAAGTCTCCAAAATGGAGTGCAGGGGGTTTAAAACCACTGCACTTCTCGGGGCAATCCTCAATCACAAGGATGACAAAAAAGGTCATCATGATGTGTATCGCTATCACCTTGAAGCCGAGCTTGGCTTGTTTCGAATCTTCCCGGATGTCAGTAACACCCGTTATGGCTCACATGGTGATGCTGCAATCGAAATCATCACGAGGCTTGAATTCTATCATCAATTCATCGAGAAGATTAGAGACATGAAGGACCACCTGGATCTAAACCATATGGAAAAGAATGTACAAAAGGCCTTACATGATATTCCGACCATCACAGAGCTGGCCGCTATGGCACTCTATGCCATTACCCTTTCTCAACCTTACATGGAACATGCCCAGTGAGGCTGCGTAGCCGATGTCAATATGTTGGATGAAGGGCCATGGCACGAAGATGTGAAGACATTCATGCGGACAGTGATTGATAATCCTGACCTCATTCTTGGCAGCGATGCATCACCCCTGACTGCAACACTGGACGCAAGGGAAGAATGGGGAAAACACACTGATACAATTGCAGCAATCCGGAATCATATGCCGAGCCTGCCAAATCTTTGTGGCACTTTAGTGGTGTTCTTTCAGGGGGCTTTGGAAACTATGATTTGATTCACTTTGGAGTTTGCGTCAGGGTCTGCAATTGATGCTGCTACTGCTGAAGAGCGCGAACTTGCCTTCATGCCAACCACAAATGATGCATCTGAGGGCCTACTGGGGTCATATCATGGGAGTCGGCACAGTTCAGAAAACATGTCAGATGAAACTTTCAATGACATCCAAATGGTGTGATGAAACAATACCGAAGCATTCACAGATGCCAAGATATTGGATGATGTTCAGACTGCAATAATGGAAAAAGCAAGGGAGAGCAGCATACTCCCTTCCAAGGCCCATCGAGCAATTATCGTGGCGAAACAACAAGAAAAAATTGCGCTGAATCAGGGGAAGGGGGTCGAAAGGGTGGAGAAAGCGAGACGCAAGGAAGATGTTTTAGGTGCAGTGGTTCTATGGAATGATCTGGAGTGGGAACAAACAGGGTACATTGCGGGAAAGCGGGTAATTGGCAAGATGTTGGATGAGCAACTAGATGCTCGTAGGCAGCATGATAAACAAATCCCACCAAAGATCCGAATGACCAGGAAAGTGGAGAAAGAGGTGGCCCTAGTTGCAGCCATCAAACATGCAATCGATATGTTGATCGGTTCTGAAGAGTATGGTCCAATCACGGAAAATAATGCTGATAGAGTTGATGAAACTGGTGGTTCCAATAGTCATAACATAGAAGACATTGATGATTAGAGACTATCTATGTGTTTTCTGATAGTTAAAAGTGTTGTTGGGACAATTGATCAGGAGGAAGACTTTTTGCCACTTTCTTGCACACAGATTAGATCACGTGGTAGTACAAAATTTATGTGACGTTGTAACGGGTCTATTGCCTAGACTCGAGACAGAGAGAAGGGGGAGGGTGGTAGTGTGCACGGGTGTGGTTTGTGGGGCCGGGTTTTGGTCCTGGGGTGCTACTGGGTCTGCTAGAACCTCAAACAAACACTCACCTATGTCTCTCTTGGACGTCAAGGCTGAGGATTCTGATAAGAGGGGTCTTAGACGTAAGCAACTAACTCAGAGGGGGCGTTAGGGTCATGGATGGCATCTTTGCCACTTGGATGTAACTTCTGCTTGTCCCTTCTGTTAGAATGGGCGGAAACGGACGACTCCGGAGCGGAATCGGAGACTTAGCGTGGAGGGACCTTGGCCTCAGCGACTCAAGCGGAGCGCTGTGCCATTGCTGTTTGTCCATTTGGTCCTTAATTTCACAGTAGGTGAGCAGGAAGTCTCTTGGGGGCATTTCAGGTCGATTTCGGACTGAAACCAAGACGAGTATGTACAAGCGCTGATATATATAATGGAAGGGGCAAAAGCACAAAGAGAACAAAGGGTGACCGAATCGGAACGAAGACGTCCGAACGGGAACAAAGGGTAGAGGGAGCGGAGCGGTACCGAAGGTCATAGGGCAAGACCTGTGATACGTCCGAAAGGAGGTAGAGAGGGCGAGGCCCAGAGGGGCAGGAGGATGAGGGGAAGTGGGGATGATGACTAACTGGCTAGAATAGAAGGAAGCAGTAGTCCAAATAGGGATGAAGGGAAAATGCGAGAAATACATTACAGGCGGCGAGAGCGCTGAAGGCGGTCCGCGAAGCTCGGGGTTGCAGAGCTTACGGAGGTTACGGAGGCGGGGTTGGAAGTCCGAGGAATATTGGCAATGGTGCTTATGTAGTATGAGGTCACCAATGCAATGGACTAAGGCCGAGGTGGAGTCAAAGTCCGAGGTAGGGACTATGACGGAGGCTCGGAGTAAGGTACGAGCGGTGTCCGAGTGCGAAGTACGGAACAACGGTAGAAGGTCGTAACTTGGCAGAAGGGTGGTGGAGGAGTAACGGAGGGAGGAGAGAGTGGCGGAAAGGAGAGTAGTCAGGTCCGAAGGTGAGTATCGGAGCGGATGGGGGAAGCGTAGGAGGATAACGGGAGGGTGGAGGTGTTGTGAAGGGGGAGCGGAGTAGCAGGAGGAGGTGTGTTGCCAGGACCGAAGGTGAGTATCGGAACGGCAGCGGTAGGTTATGACTCCGGAGGTGAAGAGGGTGGAGGTCCGGAAGTCGGGTCGGGGTCGGGTATGCACGGATATGACACCTTCATGGGTCTATTCAATACTAACTTGTTATGTACAAGCTGTTATCTAGTTTATATATGTTTGAAATGGAATGAATGGCATGGGGGAATGTAAACAGGCCGTTAGGCAACTGTAAATGATGAATATCCAATTGGGAACAAAGAAACAATAAAAGAAAAATGAATGAATGGGGAATATGTGTCAGGGCACACACCCTGACTAGCCCGGACCCGGACCCGCATCCGGACCCGCTTCCACCCACCACGCTTCCCGCACACGCACACGCTCCGTGCACCGCATGCTCCGGGCCCGGTTCCTACTCCTTCATGTGACTTCCGGGTATCCCCGAAAGTTTTCCTGATATGGTGGCCACTGTGGGAAGATGAGAAGTTAGCTTCCTTCTCATCTTCTTACCCACAGTAGGCAAGTTGTATCTTACTTGCCTTCCTATCTATTACATCTTCTTACCCACAGTAGGATTGTGCCCTGGATAGGGCTGGCCAGACCAGAGGCTGTGGACCATAGGGGAGGGTCATGGGGACCCGGGAGTCGTCCCCTGACAGAAGATGAGAAGGAAGCTAACTTCTCATCTTCCCACAGTGGCCACAATATCAGCAAAACTTCCGGGGATACCTGGGAGTCACATGAAGGGGTAGGAACCGGGCCCAGAGCATGCGGTGCATGGAGCGTGCGCGCATGTGGGAAGCGCAGCAGGTGGAAGCGGGTCTGGACGCGGGTCCGGGTCCGGGCTAGTCAGGGTGTGTGCCCTGACACCACCAGGGGTTTTTGATGGTGTGTCTCCTTGGGAGGAGACATGTTGGTAGGGGGCTGCGACGGTTCTGAAGGGACCAACACATTTTTGGTCACGCTATTTTCATTGCACATCCCTAAGGTGGTGGGAGGCCTTAGGGAGACTGCATCTGTGATAGGCACATTTGAGCTAGATTCACCCTGGTTAGAACCAGAGTGTGAATGACTCTTTTGTCATTCTTCGAGTGCAGTTAATCTGCATTCGATCTTGTTCTGAGATTCGGACAGCTGGGTCTCCATCTGGTTCATGTCTGACTTGAGCAGCTGGTAGAGATCAGCCAATGTTAGCTCCAGGGACATTTTAGACGTGTCTGGGGGATCAGCGGGCCCTAGAGACATGCCTCTTGCAGTAGAGGAAAGTTCAGGCACTGCAGAGCCTGGACTTCGTGTACCTGGGGAGTCATCAGGCCCTTGAGGTACAACCTCATGGTCAGCAATGTTTGTGGCAGGCACCTCAGTGCCTGCCGATGTTTCAGATGCATCTTCATTGCTGACTAGGTCAAAGTTGGTTTGAGCAGTGTCAGCTTCGCTGGCACTGCTGTCTGTTGTGAGACCTTGTGCATTTCTCAGCGCATACCTCATTGTCCTTGAGAAGGATGACAATCTGGGTTCCCTTCTAGGTCTCATTGGGGTGGAAGGGTCCGGGTTATGAAATTTGACTGGGGTGCTTTGGCAATGCCGATCAAATGGAAGCGTGGTTAGCATGGGGTTAGTTGAATGTAATTCACCGAGCATAAAAAAGTGTACGTTATTTACTTAATCACGCTATATGCGCGATATTATGTTTGCCTCACACTTCCAGACCATCAAATATGGTATAATGGGCTGTATTTTCAATGAGGAAGTCAAGGCTAATTTACCCTTGCAACATTACCACGCTTCCATATATACAATAAAGATATAGGATGAAGGATGGGGCAAGTGTTGCCACCACTCCTTACACTTTCCCACATTGGAGAGGATCCATTGAGGTAATTGACTTGCACAATGAACATGTAAGTGCTGAAGAATCAGCTCAAAAAGCTGATTGGATCCAGTCACAGGAAACTCCAGGGCCCCACTATCCCCTGGAGCCTCAACCCAACCCTTTGCCTCCCCAAGTCAAGCCCAAAAGGCAGACAAAGGGAAACAGAGGGAAGAAACCCCCCATTGACTATCCAAACTGGAGTTTACACTCCAAGAACCCCTTCTGGAACCCCCAGAAGCGGAAACATGAACTGGGGAGAGTCATTACTTGCCCAGCCAAACTTCCTCCTGGATAACCAGGAATTGTGTATTATGAACACAATAAACTCAATCTATAAAAAGATTGAGGAAACAAGCCATCTAAACATGGCCTGTCTAGAGATAACTCTAGAAAGAATGGCCAACACAATTGACATGTTGACCAACAAAATCAGCAAGCAGACTGACTTACTGAAAGAAATAAATTTCTCACAAAATAGTGAGGAAACAAAAAAATACCCCTGGGCCACAGGCCAGGACAAAACAAAAACTCGTGAAAAATTCATGAAAAGAACAACCAGTGAAAGTACACTGGAGTATCATCAGCAACTCAACAGAGATGTGAAAGAAATTCTTCTCCCAAAAATCGGAGAAGACAATGCCAAAAGGAGGCATCACTCAGAAATCAGGAGGAGGATTGGCATGTACCAAAGGATTGGCCAAACCTCCACCACTGATGAACCTCTCAAACAGAGAGGTAATAAATACACACTCTCTCAAAACAATGAGAGAACTACATTACAGCCTCAGGTGGAATCACCCAAAACAAGGGAAATGCTGCAAGAGAAAACCTCTCCAGCAAAAAACCCACCAAAGGAGAAATCTCCATTGGATAGTGACTCTGCTAAGGCAGGGGAACAGGAAGAGTACCTGGAAAAATGGTATGAGAAGGCCACAAAAATGACCAAAATGAGAATACTCACTCCATATCTGGAGGGAGTGAAGCTGGAAGCTCTCAAAAATGGCCTGGCTTTCCCTGACAAAAAATGGTCAGGTGTCAGGGCACACACCCTGACTAGCCCGGACCCGGACCCACATGTTCACTTCCGCCCCACACGCTCCGCACACTGCATGCTCCGGGCCCGGTTCCAATCCTTCATGTGACTTCCGGGTATCCCCGGAAGTTTTCGCCATATTGGGCCACTGTGGGAAAGTGAGAAGTTAACTTGCCCTTTTGTTTATATCACTTTCTTACCCACAGTAGTTGTGCCATGAGACTAGGCTGTTACAGATTGGGCTGTGGGCTATAGAGAGAGGGGTCATGGGGACCTGGGAGTTGTCCCCTGACATCAGGGGAGAATGACATGGAGTCATGTCAGGGCATGGCCTAACCGGCTACCCTGACCCCCTATGCTGGAAGGGAGTTGCCATAAGATGATCTGGAGAGATCTGAAGAATGCAGGTAATTTCACTTAGCTCTCGCTGTCAGGAATGTGTTGAATGCATATCTGGATGGTCTGCAAGGCACGCAAAGTTGTCCAGGCTTGTAAGGTCAGAGGGGCAGGACTTCAGCTTCAGTGACTCGGGTGGAGCGCTTCATTCTTATGTTGTTGTCCCAATTTCAGACAGGAGCCTCACAATGGAGAGAAGAGACAAGGGGGGTAAATCCAAGTCGATATATGATCTGAGGTACATCTGGTGTAACCTACATGCATTATAAGCACAACTAACTAAATAGGACCAGCCCGGAAGGAATGGCAGATCAGTGCAATATTAATGAATGAAGAAATAGACAAATGGTTAATATCAGCAAACCTTGCCAACAAAAGGAAATAAGGAAACAAGGAGTGGCAAAAGGGGGAACAATAGTCTGCAAGCAAACAAAAGAGAAAAAGGCCATCCAGCCATCTAGCAAGCTGTCCAGCTGGCAGGTGGATAACAATGAACCACTCAAACGGGCAACCTTGGTTGGAAGGTATGTGCACAGGGAGAAAGTGCGGATGAGGGTGACAGGTGGACGGGTGGATGGATGGATGATGATGGTAGCGGGTGGGACAGGCCAAGTGGCACTATGTCAGGGCAATAGCCCCGAACCCCAAGTCATATGTAAATTAGATACCTATAGTCACGTGGGTAAGCGGGAACCTCCGGGTAACTGCTTACACACCACTGTAAAATACACATACTTGTATCACTTACGGCTTTGTGTGCTGAGCTACCCAAAGACCTCACACTTTTTTAAGTGTATGAGGTGTGTTTTACAACACAACCCACAACAACTACATAATCTTAACATCTGACTCGGAAGCGCCTATGGCGCCTAAACACGCCTGCAAGGGCAAAGTCGCATCTGCAGCGACACTAAAAAGAAACGAGTGGTTTATTAAGAAACCGCAATCTCCCATCATGGGAGATTCAAACCAAAAGCCATTGTCAGACGATGACAAGGATCAACATGATCCGGCATTAGCAACCACCTCAGGGCTGGTCCCTGAAGGTTTTAGAAACATCCCTCACCTCCTCACGAGGTGATCAACTTGCGCGAAAAACGCGTAAGCGCCAAACGATCAGCCCAAAAAGCTGATCGGATAGAGTCACAGGAAACTCCAGGGCCCCACTATCCCCTGGAGTCCCCCCTCACGTCCCCAAGTCAAGCCCCAAAGGCAGACAAAGGGAAACAAAGGGAAGAGCCCCCGCATTGGCTATCCGAAAAACTACTGGACTTGTTCCAGGTTCTGTCTGAATGGAGGACGGAAAGTGAAGACCAACTTCTCAGGCTAAAAGCCCGAGAAGGCGCGAAGATACGCCCTGAGAGCAGGATCTCCCAGAGCACGGAAGCTCCAAAGGAACTTCCGCTGTTTACACTCCCACACACCATGCCAGACAAGGCAAGGTCGCCAACCTCGGAGGAGGTCTCCGAGATAATGAAGAGGAGGCGAACTGAAATGAGGGAGTTTGCTGAGGAAGCCTTATGCAAAAGTAAGGAAAAACCAGCGAACAGACCCCTCTATGAAAGGGAAGCACCCTCCGCAATGGCCTTGCCTAAACAAAGCGAGCGTGGAGTGTTCACTCCAAGAACCCATTCTGGAACCCCCAGAAGCGGAAATGTCAACTGGGGAGAGTCTCTGCTCGCCCAACCAAACTTCCTCCTGGAAAACCAGGAATCGCGCATAATAAACGCAATAAACTCGATCCAAAAAAAGATCGAGGAAACGAACCATAATAGTACAGCTCGTCTAGAGATAACTCTAGAAAGAATGGCTAACGCAATCGATGCGTTGACTGAAAAAATCAGTGAACAAACAAACTTGCTGAAGGAAATAAATTTCTCACAGAAGAGTGAGGAAACAAATAAACACCCCTGGACCACGGTCCAGGACATAAATAGAACTCGTGAAAAATTCACGAAAAGAACCACCAGTGAAAGCACACTGGAATATCATCAGCGACTCGACAGAGACGCTAAGGAGATCCTTCTCCCAAGGATAGGAGAAGACAATGCCAAAAGAAGGCATCGTTCAGAGATTAGGAGGAGAATTGGCACGTACCAAAGGTTCAGCCAAATGTCCACTTATGACGGACCTCTCGAACAGAGAGGTAACTCAATCACACCCTCTCAAAACAATGAGAGAATACAAATACAACTTCAGGCGAATTCGCCTGAAACCAAAGAAATGCTGCGAGGAAGATTTCCCCCAGCAAAAACCCCCCAAAGGAGAGATCTCCATTGGATAGCGACCCCGTGAAGGCAGGGGAGCAAGAAGAGTACCTGGAGAAATGGTACGAAAAGGCCATAAGAATGGCCGAAGTGAGAATACTCACTCCCTACCCAGAAGGAGTGAAGCCTGAAGCCCTAAAGAGTGGGCCGGCATTCCCTGACAAGAAATGGTCAGGGGAGAACGACATGGAATCGTTCTGGCAGTGGTTCACAGAACTACTGGGATTCCTCGCCTCGCGAGGATGCAAAGGTCCCCAATTCGACGAAGTCCACCTGGACTGCTTGATTCGTGGATTAGGGGGGCCCGCGTTCGACCTCGGAATTAGACTCTGAGACGAAACTCTCCTCAGAGGAGACAAGGGCATGTTCCTCGAAGTTCTCAACATATTGATGAGAACTTTCATTAAAGCCTCTGCCGCGCTGAACGCGACAAAGAAGTACCACAACGTCAAATATGAAGCGGAAAAAGGCCTAAAACAGTTCTACCTAGAACTGTCCAAAGCAGCGTCCCAGATGGTGACACCGCCAGACCAGGCATCCTTCAACACCAGGTTCCTAAACTACATTCCCCTCGAATGGAAGAGGGAAATGATTGCTCATGATAGAATCAGAGCAGACTTCTCCTCAAACGAGGAGATGTTAAAAGCAATATCTCATGTAGACGAGATAATTGACGGGCTGAAGATGTCTTCAGCCTACAAATCAGGTTACTATACCCGAACAACTACCATGGCAACCACGAGCCGCGGTAGAGCCCTCCCATCAGGAAAGAAGGCTGAAGAGCTGAAACCCAGATGGAAAGAGGATACATCCTCGAAAAACTCGAGGAAAACTGACCAAAAGTCAATTCCAATTTGCAGCAAATGCGGCAAAATAGGGCAAACGAAAGATTGCCCAAGACACAATGTAACAAGCGATG